GCGTCTGTGTGAGTGTCTCTGTGTGAGTGTATTTGTGTGAGGCTGTGTATTTGTGTGAGTCTGTGTCTCTGTTGTATTCGCACCTTACGGAGCCAACCGTGCAAATCGGAGGTACGGGGGGGGTAGGGAGGGGGAGCTCAGCTCCGTTTCCGTTTCTATTTTGAGCAGCCCTCGGCTGAAAAGAGGTCGAGGGCGGTCCAGGGAGCATCGAAGAGGAAGGAACGAGACCGGCGGGACCCCCCCCCCCACCACCATCGGGGGGCGAGACCGGTCCCACCGGTGGGACCGGTCTCCCCCCCCCCCCCTCCGAGCCGGTGATGGACATTCCACATTCCTATGGCGGTTTGGCGAGACGAACAAAGACGGTGGTGGCCACTGCATCGCGCGGCGCTTTCAGATGTGCCTCTGCGGCCGTCTGGAACGCTCTTTCTTCAGATATGAGGAAGCCACTGGAGCTATGCACTTTTAAATAATCATCATCATCACCATCTAGACTGACACTCATTTCTTTAGAACTTATTTTTGTGTTGCGTTTCTTGTCCGTACCCCGTACCTCCGATTTGCACGGTTGGCTCCGTACAGTACGAATACAACAGACAAACAGAGTCATACAAATACACACAGCCTCACACAGAGACACACAGCCTCACACAGAGACACTAACACAGAGACACTCACACAGACACACAGCCTCACACAGAGACACTCACACAGAGACACTCACACAGGCACACAGCCTCACAGAGACACTCACACAGAGACACAGACTCACACAGACACACCGACTCACACAGACTCACAGCCTCACACAGAGACACTCACACAGACATACAGCCTCACACAAATACACAGCCTCATACAGAGACGCTCACACAGAGACACTCACACAGACTCACACAAATACACACAGACTCACACAGAGACACAGACTCACACAAAGACACAGAGACACTCACACAGACTCACACAAATACAGCCTCACAGAGACACTCACACAGAGACACAGACTCACACAGACACACCGACTCACACAGACTCACAGCCTCACACAGAGACACTCACACAGACATACAGCCTCACACAAATACACAGCCTCATACAGAGACGCTCACACAGAGACACTCACACAGACTCACACAAATACACACAGACTCACACAGAGACACAGACTCACACAAAGACACAGAGACACTCACACAGACTCACACAAATACACACAGCCTCACACAGAGACACTCACACAGACACAGCCTCACACAGAGACACTCACGCAAATACACAGCCTCACACAGAGACACTCACACAGAGACACAGACTCACACACATACACAGCCTCACACAGAGACACTCACACAGAGACACTCACACAGACACACAGACTCACACAGAGACACTCACACAGACACAGACTCACACAGAGACACTCACACAGACACACAGACTCACACAGAGACACTCACACATACACACAGACTCACACAAATACACACAGCCTCACACAGAGACTGACACAGACACACAGACTCACACAAATACACACAGACTCACAGACACACAGACTCACACAAATACACAGCCTCACACAGAGACATTCACGCAGAGACACTCACACAGACAGACTCACACAAATACACAGCCTCACACAGAGACACTCACACAGAGAAACAGACACACAAATACACACAGCCTCACACAGAGACACTCACACAGAGACACACAGACTCACACAAATACACACAGCCTCATACAGAGACACTCACACAGACACAGCCTCATACAGAGACACTCACACAGAGACACTCACACAGAGACACAGACTCATACAAATACACACAGCCTCACACAGAGACACTCACACAGAGACACAGACTCACACACATACACAGGCTCACACAGAGACACTCACACAGAGACACTCACACAGAGACACTCACACAGAGACACTCACACAGAGACACAGACTCACACGAATACACAGCCTCACACAGAGACACTCACACAGACACACAGACTCACAAAGAGATACTCACACAGAGACACTGAATCACACAAAGACACGGACTCACACAAATACACAGCCTCACACAGAGACACTCACACAGAGACACTCACACAGACACACAGACTCACAGACTCACAAAGAGATACTCACACAGAGACACTGACTCACACAAAGACACGGACTCACACAAATACACAGCCTCACACAGAGACACTCACACAGAGACACTCACACAGACACACACAAATTCACAGACTCACACAGAGACACTCACACAGACACACAGACTCACACAAATACACACAGCCTCACACAGAGACACAAAGACAGCCTCACACAGAGACACTGACACAGACTCACACACAGACACATAGCCTCAAACAGAGACACTCACACAGAGATACTCACACAGGCACAGACTCACATACAGACAGCCTCACACAGAGAGACAGACTCACACACAGACACACAGCCTCAAACAGAGAGACTCGCATAGAGAGACAGACTCACACAGATACAGAGACTCACACAGAGGCACAAAGCCTCGCACAGATGCGGACTCAAAGATCCCCCATATAGCCTTAACAGACTGTAGGGGCAAGTGCTGTTAGCGAGCACCTATGAAGGCCGGAACGGTACACGAGGGGGTGGGTGGCCAGCACCACGCCCGACCGCCTTTGTCTCCCTAGTGGCAATGTTTACACACCGCACCAGGTACTCATTTGAGGCTGAGTCGACCTAGGGGATGCCCGGGACCGGTTCAGATAATCGTCACTGGTGTTGGCCGTGAGCAAGAATCGAACCCGGGCCGCCAGGTTCATAGCGCAGCGCGCTAACCGCTACACTATGTTACTGCTGCTGATGATGATGTTACTAGTAATGTTGCTGCTGATGATGTTACTGGTAATGATACTGCTGCTGATGATGATGTTACTGGTAATGATACTGCTGCTGATGATGATGTTACTGGTAATGATACTGCTGCTGCTGATGATGTTACTAGTAATGTTACTGCTGCTGATGATGTTACTAGTAATGTTACTGCTGCTGATGATGTTACTAGTAATGTTACTGCTGCTGATGATGTTACTAGTAATGATACTGCTGCTGCTGATGTTACCGGTAATGTTACTGCTGCTAATGATGCTACTGGTAATGATACTGCTGCCGATGATGTTACTGGTAATGATTGATGATGATGTTACTGGTAATGATTGATGATGATGTTACTGGTAATGATACTGCTGCTGATAATGATGTTACTGGTAATGATACTGCTGCTGATGATGATGTTACTGGTAATGTTACTGCTGCTGATGATGATGTTACTGGTAATGATACTGCTGCTGATGATGATGTTACTGGTAATGATACTGTTGCTGATGATAATGTTACTGGTAATGTTACTGCTGCTGCTGATGATGTTACTGGTAATGATACTGCTGCTGATGATGTTACTAGTAATCTTGCTGCTGCTGATGATGATGTTACTGGCAATCGTACTGCTGCTGCTGCTGATGATGTTACTGGTAATGATACTGCTGATGACGATGTTACTGGTAATGCGACTGCTGATGACGATGACACTTGTGATGATGCTGCTGCTGCTGCCCGCTCCTCGACTCATCGGGATGCCCCCCCCCCCCCCCCCGCGTAAAGTTGCCGAAGCCGGGAGACATCCGGGCTCTGATTTATCAAAAAATCTCTCTCTAGAGTCCAAGGCGAAACGGGCCTTGGGTGGCTCACATCTCTTTACAGGCAGTAGACTATTAAGTAACGCACGTAGAGGGGTGCCAGTGAAACGTAGGGGTGCCAGTGAAACGTAGGGGTGCCAGTGAAACGTAGGGGTGCCAGTGAAACGTAGGGGTGCCAGTGAAACAACGCGAACGGCCCAACTAAAATGTCTATCATCGGTCGCAGAAATCACAGCAACAGCAGCAGCAGCAGTAACATCAGGATCAGTTCCAAGATCAGCAGCAGCAACATCATCAGCAGTAGAGGCAACACCGCTGTCGCAGCTTTACTCGAATTCTTGTGCAGGGAAATTGAGTTCCAAAAATGTTTGCTTTATGATTCTCTCCCATGCGACGGGACTTTGTAGGATGAACGTTGACATTTATAATGGGCCACGGGGGTGACCAATACGATCTGAATTGGTCTGTAATAAGGTAGGGGGCGCTGACGAGGGGTTGACAGCTTTGCGACAATGTCATCATCAGTAGCATTACAGGCAGCAGCGTGATAGTGCAGAAGCAGCATTCGTATCAGGAGAAATATAATCATCGGTATCCGCAGCGGCAGCGTCATTAAGATCAGTAGCGCCAATCTGAACATCATCGGCGTGAGCAGCAATATCGATCAGCAATTAGAATGATCTTCAGAAGCAGACGTATTACAATCGTCGTCGTCAGCATCGTCGTCATCATGAATCGCATCATCGCAGTCGTCTCAATGATCGCAGTTGATCTCTGTACCCCCCCCCCACCACAGCCCCAAAACCCAGACTCTTAACCCTCTTGCCGACTCCGAGGAGTCAAGGGGCACAGCGCACAATGCCATAATCACGGGTTGGACTGCGTACGGAAGTTCGATGTACGTGCATGAAGTCAGCGTCTCTCTCACGGCGTCAACAATAGCAGCAAGGCGCAAGCAACAACAATCATGAGTAGGCTAGAGTCAAGATTAGAGTCAAGGGTAGCGTGAAGGATAGAGAGTCAGGGGTAGAGTTATGGGTATGTGCAACGTTAGAATCGCGAGTAGCATTAGGCTGAGCGTTACGGTCTATCTTGAATGTGAAGCTTCACTTACAAGAGAGACTTCCCCCACCCACCCACCGTCTCCTTGGTCGACGCGCAGTTGCAGATGACAACGCTTGGGTTGTAGTCGCGGTTCGGGCGTTTGATTGCGACCCGTTCTCGCGCAAGGTAAATCGCTTACGCGAGACGCTCACTCTCTCGCACTCTCTCGCACTCTCTCTCACCTGTGAGCAAACACTCACCTGGGCACGGCGGCTCGAGGCGAGCAACTGGGTGAGAGCCAACCGTATGGGGTTTAATCGGCGCACCAAGGTTACCCTTCACGATGGCAGCCGGGTAAACCCCACGCGGCTCGCCTGTACGGCACTTCACGAGGAAGTTGTGTGGATGTCGAACAGGCGTTTGTGTGTGTACCTGTGTGTGTACCTGTGTGTGTGTGTACCTGTGTGTGTGTATGCGCGCCCCCTACAGATGAGTGTACCTATGTCCCGATGCAGGTGTGCATGTGTACTGCAGTGTGTGTGTGTGTGCCCCTACAGGTGAGAGCGTGTCTGTGCGTCCCACTCTATAGGCCTGTGTACCTGTGCGTGTATGCTGGCCACCCACCTCCTCGTGTGCCGTGCCGGCATTCATCAGGGCTCGCTCACAGCACTTGGTCCAACCGTCTGTTAAGACTATACGGGGAATCTTTGCCTTTATACAGGTGGGTATGTGTACCTGTGTGTCCCCCTACAGGTGCGAGCGTATGCGCCCTATACAGGCGAAAGCGTGTACCCGTGTGTGTACATACAGGTCGGTGTGTGTGTGTGTGCACCACCCTACCGGTGTGTACAGTACCAGTGTGTGTGTGCACACCACCCTACCGGTGTGTACAGTACCTGTGTGTGTGTGTGCGTGCACCACCCTACCGGTGTGTACAGTACCTGTGTGTGCGTGCACCACCCTACCGGTGTGTACAGTACCTGTGTGTGTGTGCGCGCACCTCTGCAGGTGAGGTGAGAAGCGGTGGTGGAGCGGCCAGCCTGCTGCGCTCCGAACCTGGCGACCCGAGTTCGATTCCCTCGGTCTATCTCAGCCTCGAACGAGTACCCAGTGCCACTGGGGAGACAAAGGCGGACGGGCGTGGTGCTGGCCACCCACCCTCCTCGTGTGCCGTTCGGGCCTCGAGTGCAACGATCCGAGCGCAAGAGCGCTGCGGTGACGTCCCTTGCCATGTCGTGCCGAGTTCCGGCTGTCGTGTGTCTTGTCTCTTATGGGGAACGGTGGCGCAGTGGTGAGCGCACCGTCCAAGGTTCAAGCTAAACCACAGCCCGCTGAGCGGCGTAGCTCGTTTTGTTTTTTAGAAGCGACCTGGCGAATCGCAAATGACAGCTCAACGGAAGTGGCTTAGCCACGTGGGAATTGATGGTAGCAGCCAAATACTCTGGACGCGTGGACCTTGATTCTAAATGTGGAGGGAACAAAAAAAAAACCGGGGGACCCGGAGAAAAATCCACAGGCGGGAGAGACACGCGGACTCCAAATATAGAGCAGGCGTCAGGGTCGAACTCACGACCTCCTGTATACGGGGCGAGGTAGTTAACATCTCCTAGCCACCGTGGTGATGATGAGACACGTGGACTCCAAATATAGAGCAGGCGTCAGAGTCGGGGTCGAACCCACGACCTCCTGTGAGGTAGTTAACATCTCCTAGCCACCGTGATGATGAGACACGCGGACTCCAAATATAGAGCAGGCGTCGGGGTCCAACTCACGACCTCCTGTATACCCGGCGAGGTAGTTAACATCTAACCACCGTGGTGATGATGAGACACGCGGACTCCAAATATAGAGCAGGCGTCAGGGTCGGGGTCCAACTCACGACCTCCTGTATACCAGGCGAGGTAGTTAACATCTCATAGCCACCGCGACGCCCCAAAAAGCCAAAAGGGGCACGGAGCCGTGGTGATGAATATCGAGACCCTGGTGGAACACACCCCAGACAACAAATATCCCCCGTATAGCCTCAAGACTTTTGGGGGCAAGTGCTGCTAGCGAGCGCCTACGAAGGCCGGCACGTTGTCAACGGGGGACAGGGTTTGTGGAGGTAGTACCACGCCCGGCCGCCTTTGTCTTCCCGATGTTTACCCACCGCAGCAGGAACACGTGCACCGAGCCAGGCGGTGGGTGGCGCACGCGACTGACCCAGAACTCTGGAGGCAGCAGCAAGGGGTTGGTGGATCACCACACAGATCATTATGATGATGATGTGAAACTCTCCCTTTCCTGTGGGCATGGAGAATGAGGAGCCGCCGTACCCTGGCGACTCGCCAGGAGAAAGTGGCACAGCAAAAATGTGGACTCTACAGGTTTACGTCTGTATGGGATAGTGTATAAAAAGTGTTTAGGATAGTCTATGCCCTATGGGATTGTCTATTGGATAGTCTATGGGATAGCGTATGGGATAGCGTATGGGATAGTGCTTCCGTCTTCCGCAGGTGTATTTCCTCCCGCACGTATAATAAACACCCGTCATTAATCGGCTGATAACACCTTAATAGAGGACTGCCAGCGCTTGGGCGACCTTTGGGAGCGCCGCCTCACTATGTAGCAGCTGCTGCCTTTCCACTTGTCTGTGGTTCATCCTCCTGGTGCCTCAGGAGTCTCTACGAGTCGTCCTCCAAGTCGTCCTCTCTCCCAGAGTCGTCCTCTCTCCCCCTCCAAGTCGTCTCCTCTCTCTCCTCTCCCTCCGAGTCGTCTTCCGACTCAAGAGTCCTCTCCCTACGGGGAGTCCTCCTTCCACGAGAGCGAGGAGCGGATAACGTGAAGCAGCGATGTGGCGTTTCGGAGCTCACATCGCTCCCCTTCCTCACAAAGACAAAGATCCCCCGTATAGCCGTACCAGACTGTTGGGGCAAGTGCTGTTAGTGAGCACCTATGGAGCCCGGAACGGCACACGAGGGGGTGGGTGGCCAACACCACGCCCGGCCGCCTTTGTCTCCCCAGTGACGATGTTTACACGCCGCACCAGGTACTCATTTGAGGCCGAGTCTACCTAGGGGAGGCCCAGGACCAGTTCAGATAATCGTCACTGGTGTTGGCCGTGAGCGGGAATCGAACTCGGGCCGCTCATAAACGTACGCACACGCGGGCACACACACACACACACGCACCCCTTTTACAAACTCGCACGGCGATGAACAGCGAACACTTTATTTTACTTTCCGAAATCAGCATTGTATTCAAAGCGTGCTCCTGTACCGCACCGGGACGACGAAGTACTCGTGACAGCACAGCGTCGTCAACTCGCCGTACCCACCGATTACTAAGAACTCCCCAAGTGATCATAACAAAGCAATGCACACACAACAAAACAGCGGATAGCATCGTGTACAGGGTACAGACAAGGAGTGGTGCAAGTACAGGCAGTCATGTACTCACAAAATTCGACTTACGAACTTTGAGAGACACGAACAAACCCGTCCGTATGTCCAGTTGCCTGTTCGGACTAAGAGTCGTAAGTTCAACCGCCGTGCAATAGATGGCGGCGGTGGTATCTACATCTACAGAACGTGAAGAACCAGTGGCATCTACATCTACAGAACGTGAAGAACCAGTGGCATCTACATCTGCAGAACGTGAAGAACCAGTGGCATCTGCAAGAACGTGAAGAACCAGTGGCATCTACATCTACAGAACGTGAAGAACCAGTGGCATCTACATCTACATAACGTTTAGAACCAGTGGCATCTACATCTGCAGTACGTGAAGAACCAGTGACATCTACATCTGCAGAACGTGAAGAACCAGTGGCATCTACATCTGCAGAACGTGAAGAACCAGTGGCATCTACATCTGTAGAACGTGAAGAACCAGTGGCATCTACATCTTCAGAACGTGAAGAACCAGTGGCATCTACATCTGCAGAACGTGAAGAACCAGTGGCATCTGCAAGAACGTGAAGAACCAGTGGCATCTACATCTACAGAACGTGAAGAACCAGTGGCATCTACATCTACATAACGTTTAGAACCAGTGGCATCTACATCTGCAGTACGTGAAGAACCAGTGGCATCTACATCTACAGAACGTGAAGAACCAGTGGCATCTACATCTACAGAACGTGAAGAACCAGTGGCATCTACATCTGCAAGAACGTGAAGAACCAGTGGCATCTACATCTGCAAGAACGTGAAGAACCAGTGGCATCTACATCTACAGAACGTGAAGAACCAGTGGCATCTACATCTGCAAGAACGTGAAGAACCAGTGGCATCTACATCTACAGAACGTGAAGAACCAGTGGCATCTACATCTGCAGAACGTGAAGAACCAGTGGCATCTACATCTACAGAACGTGAAGAACCAGCGGCATCTACATCTGCAGAACGTGAAGAACCAGTGGCATCTACATCTACAGAACGTGAAGAACCAGTGGCATCTACATCTACAGGAGATTATAAAACTTTTAAAGCCATCCCCCCCCCCCGTGTTTAGTGTACACGCCGTACAACACGTTTCTGAATCGACGGGAGTAAAGTTGGACTTGTGAACAAATCGACTTACGAACAAGACCTCTGGAACCTAACTCGTTCGTAAGTAGACGGCACACCATCGTCATCCCGCCGCGTCCACCAATTACCAACTCCCCAAGCGTGATTATAACAACGCAATGCACATGCAACAGGGCGGATAGCATTGTGTGCAGGGTACAGACCAGGGGTGGTGCATAGTAGTGGTGGTGTTGGCTCATCGTGGGTGGGAGGGGGGTCTAAGCATAAATCAATTAAGGAGGTTACCCCCACGCCCACCCCTCCCCCCTGCCCCCTTAAGTGTATAAACGCCCAGTGAGATGAAAGGGATTTAAGAGAGGAGACAAACGTGGGGCGAAGTCAGAGACACGTAGACAAGGAGATCTATGGTGAGATGACAAGCTGAGAGACACAGCCAAGACAGAGACACGTGAGTGAGAACGAGCACAGAGAGAGAAATGAAGGCAAGCGAAGACAGACGTCGACACGAGAGAGATGAGAGATGTAGCGCGTCTAAGAGAAAAATAGAGAGATGCGCTGTGATGACCAGCGAGATACAGAACGTGCAAGAGAAACTTTTTTTTAATTAGCATTTTTTATTTGAGCTCATTTTACACACCACCTGTTATTTAATATGCAATGGAACCCCCCCCCCCCCCTTCAACCACCACTCGGTGACCACCACCACCTTAGCTCTTACTTGGGGAGTTGCCGATGCCCAGTGCCGGCCACCACCACCACCACTACCGGGTGGTCAAACCTCCCGAGCCTCCGAACCTCCTAGGGCCAAGAGCCACACTGGGGTTGTCATAGTCCACCCCCGGTTTTGTTGAAGCCGGTTGGCTGTAGAGATCTGCGGAAGCGTGCCCCAAGTGCGACCAACCATTGCTTGGCTTCTGCCGCCCGAGCGCGAGTGCCACTGGGACGGCGCTCTAGACGCTTCCGCAGATTTTCTCCCCTCGTATCGAATCAAAGTTACGGTCCTGTCTATTGAAAAAGTTTAGAAATCCGCGGTTGCTTCCTCAGATTTCCCCCCCTCCCCCTCCCCCCCACGTGTCAACTAAAGTTATATTTCAAAGTTAATAATAAGCTGTGTCTCGAAGCAGTGGTATATGAAGTGATCAGGGGGGCATGGTTTCGCCACCCCTGGTATATACTGCGTGTGTGCCCGTGTGTGTGTTTACGTATGTTGAACTTCTTTCGCACCGTACGTAGCCAACCGTGCTAGTCGGAGGTGCGGTGCGGCGTGCGTGCGCACTCACCACGTAGAAAAATATTCACTGCGTTTCCACGCACAAACAAAATGCGCTAATCTCTATCCAGTGGCGCAGAGCCAGTGGTGAAAATTCCACATTCCTATGACGAGGGCCGCACGAACGTACGTTAACGTGTGTGTGTGTGTCGCCGTGTTTGTGTGCGGGTACGAGAACCGCAGGTTGGCGGCGGTCAACCGGGGAAGCCTTCAGCCAGCAGTGGATTGACCATGGCTCCTTCCTTTCACGACGATGCTGGTAGTATACACAAGCGGCTTAAGCTTTTGGACAAAATCTTTCCTGCCATAGGAATGTGGAATATCCAACGTCCCTCTCTGAAACCTGCCGAAACGCTACACACCCAGCCACAAACAAAAAAAGCCCCTTGGTGCAGGGAGACGTGTGTGCGCGAGTGAGCATGTGAATATGTGAGCGCGTGTGTGTGCGTGCACGTGCGTCGAGTGGTAGTGTAGTGGTTAGTGCAAGGCTGCGCTACGAACCCGGCGACAGAAGATCGATTCCCGCTCACTGCCACCAACACCGGTGACGATTATCTGAACCGGTCGTGGGCCTCCCCGAGGTCGACCCAGCCTCAAATGAGTACCCAGTGGCGATGTGCACAAACATCGCCACTGGGGAGACGAAGGAGCTGGCCACCCTAGCCTTGCATGTGCGCGCGCGTGTGTACGCGTGCATGTGTGTGCGTGTACGTGTATGTACGTGCGTGTACGTTTGTGTGCGCGTGAAAAGCATCGGTGCTGACCCCGGGTACAGCCCGTGACCCAGTGACCTGGTGGCGCACCCGGTGACCCGATGACCCATCAGTCGAACTCGCGGTCGGACAGAATGAGCGGGGCGATGAGGGTCCAGGTGTAGAGACCCAGGCAGATCCAGCTGCTGGAGATTTTGACCCAGACGGACGGCCAGGACGTCACCATCGTCTTGCCGTCCACGTCCGGCCTGGTAGAGGCACAGTGGGGGGGGGGGGGGGGGGGAGGGGGGGTGTGGAGAGGAAGGGGAGAGAGATGGAGGGGATAAACAGAGACACAGACAGAGATAGGTATGGGAAGCGGGGAGAGATGGAGGAGAGTCAAGCCAGGCTCCAAACCGTCATATGCTGCTGCTGCTGCTGGTCTCACAAGACGGATGAATCTGGCTCGGGGCCCAGCAGGGCCAGGGCTGGGCCTTTATGACTAGTTCACCACGCGTGACGTCAGTCGGTACGTGGTGAGGACACAGCGTCACTACCATGTCACCCTACACCGCTTCTCCACTCGTTCACCACGGGTGGTTGACAGTTGGTACGTGGCGAGGTCACAGTGTCACTACCGCGTCACCTGCACCGCGCGTCTCCACTCATTCACCGCGCTTGACGTGAATCGGTACGCGGTGAGGACACGGCGTCACTGCCGCGTCACCTGCACCGCGGTCTCCACACCACGGCTCGCGTACCTCACCGGTAAGTAAAGGGGAAAAACCCCAACGTGGCGCCTCCCGGCCCGGCTCGGCTCGGACGTGCACGGCGGAACGGCAGCGGTGCTGGCGGAGCGCTCACCGGTACCAGTTGGTGAGCGTCATCATGATGTAGAGCGAAGCGAGGCACATCAGGAAGTGGAAGAAGCAGTAGCTGTAGGTGACACCGCCGGCCTCGTTGTCTTGGGCTCGACGCACCGCGCCACTCTCCTCGTCGCCCTCCTCGCCCTCCGACCCGCTCCCCGACTTGACGGCGACGCCATCGTCCGCGGCGCCGCCCTCGTTCACCAGCACCGACTCGTCTCCCGACAGCGTCAGCCGCCCCACCTGGCTGTGGCTCGACGTGCGGATGCTGGGGAGGGGGGGGGGGACGCAGGCAGAGACGGGGAGAGAGATGGGGAGACGGGGAAGGATGGTGAGAGAGAGAGAGAGCAAGACGGGGAGCAATGTGAGAGATAGAGATGGAGGCAAAAAATGTGAGAGATGGAAATACAAACAGACATGATCACCACCATCTCTATTAAGACCACCAGCACCACTACCACCTTCATTACCAGTAGCACCTCCATCTCAATTACTGCCACTACCTCCATAAACACCACCACATATTATTGGTTCTTTCGGTAAAGTCACGTAGAAGGGAAACAATAAAATAATAAAAATATAAAACAATTAAATTCTCACGACGTTTCGACTGCAACACAAGCAATCATCATCAGGTGTGAAAACCACAGCAATCAAATTTGATGATTGCTTGTGTTGCAGTCGAAACGTCGTGAGAATATGGTTTTATATTTTTATTATTTTATTGTTTCCCTTCTACGTGACTTTACCGAAAGAACAAAGAATATGAATCCGTGCAGTCACGAAAACTTTAAATAAAAAATACCACCACTATTATCAACAGCACCTCCACGAGCAGCACCACCTCCTATTAGGACCACCAGCACCACCAACAACACCACCCACCAGCACTAACACCACCACCAACACTACCATCAGCACCATCAGCACCACCACCACTAACACCACTAACACCACCATCAGCATCACCACCTCCCATTACCATCAGCATCACCACCACCATCAGCACCATTATCAGCACTACCAACTCCAGCACCACTATCAGCACTACCAACTCCAGCACTACCACCAGCATCACCATCACCACCACCACCACCACCACAGCCAGGGTGAGCAGCGGGCGGTGTCTCGGCTCACCTGGAGTAGAGGACGCACAGCAGGTAGACGACCAGGCCGACGATGCTCTGCGCGTCCCACCACTGCGGCGACTGCGGCACGGCGGAGGTCGTGGGGGCCGGGGTCGTGGCGTTCACGTGGCCCCCCGCGCCCCCCGCGATGGTCGTCATCAGCGACATGAGGCTCGGGTTGCAGGTGCGCTCTGCGCGGGGAGGAAAAATGTAAATGCAAGTCGTGCACGGTCTCGTTCCTCGAGAGATTTCAACGGCCGAATCAGGATCGTTATTTAAACGGGAGAAGGAATCCAAAGAGCTGTAAAGCTCTTTTTCACAGATGTCCTGTCGGGGCACGGGGTCACAATGTTACGAAAACAAACGCGAAAAAAACACGAAGTGCAAAATATAGGAAAAAGTAAACACTTAAAAAAGGAAATTTAACTAAACAATGTTTATCTTTTGATTTAAAGCTTTTGTGACTGCAGTAATTCATATTCTTAGCTCTTTCGGTAAAGTCACGTTGAAGGGAAACAATAAGACAATAAAATATATATAAAACAATAAAAATTCTCACGACGTTTCGACCATAACACAAACGGTCGTCATCAGGTCATCAGGTGATGACGACCGTTTGTGTTATGGTCGAAACGTCGTGAAAATTTTTATGGTTTTATATATATTTTATTGTTTTATTGTTTCCCTTCAACGTGACTTTACCGAAAGAGCTAAGAATATGTTTATCTTACCAGGTAAGGCCCACCGAGCTACTAACTTATTTTTCAGAAGCGACCTGGCCACAAATGGTAGCTCAACGAAGCGGCTTATCATCACGTGGAAATTTATCGCAGCAAAATAATCCGAAATAAACTAAAATGCACGTTTCAAAAATGATGAGGGAAAAACCGGAGGACCCGGATAAAAAAAATAATAATAATTCCACGTGACCACGGCGAGGGAGACCAATGTGGGGCACGTCAAATAAATAAAGCGTACACGTTAACAATTTCGCGCATCGTTCGCAATGGGTACCTGGCTCACTGCTCATCGCCGACCAGGTGAGGTACATGGTGTAGAGGGTGATGATGGAGGACTGCAACAGGCCCGACCGGGGCTGCCCCTCCTACAAAGACAAAGAGAGAGGGCCCCCCCCCCGTGTAACCCCTTGCGACAAGTGCTGCTCACGAGCAGCAGCACCTATGGAGGCCCGCACGGCGCACGACAGGGTGGCATGGCCACAACCACCATGCTCAGGGCTGATACTGTTTACACACCGCACCAGGTGCATGTCCTTTTGAGCCGGGGTCAGCCGAGGGGAAAGGCCCAGGACCGGTTCAGATAATCGTCAGTGACATTGGCCGTGAGCGGGTATCGAACTCGGCCCGCCGGGTTGGTGGCGCGGCGCGATAGCCGCCGCACTGCCGCTCCCCACCGTGCCCCGCCACTGCGCACAAAGATCCCCCGTATAGCCTTGAAGAAAATGACGGGGGGCAGCACCACACAGCGCCCGGCCGCCCTTTGTGTGTTTCCCCGGTGTCGACGATTTACACACCGCAGCAGGTCAGCAGGTACCCATTTTATTTCAGGCCGAGTTGACCGAAGAGAAGCCCAGGGTCAGGCGTGGATGGTGTCATCGTGTTTGGTCCCTCGTAACCTTGCTCCAATTAACGAGGAGGGGGTTTAACCTCTCGTCTAAAGCACCGTCAACGGTGCCGTTTGTGGCTGGACGCTTGGTGCTTTTGGGCCTCATACGGACAGGAGTTGGGTGAAGACCGTGAAAAAAAGTAATGCTCTCGACAATTAATAACCAATCGCTCACTCAGCCCTCTGCGAGACGCACGCAAGAGCGGGTTGGGGTGACCAGGACCACGTGCGGCAGCCTTCGTCACCCCAGCGCCGATTGTTTACACACCGCAGCGGGTGCTCACAAAGCGTGACAATCGGACAGGATGTTTCGTTTGAGATTGCGTCAGACGTAATAACAATGTTAACTTGTACCGTTCCATCACACAGTTCTCGCTCATTGCTCTCGTAGAGAGTGCGACTCCCAGAGGCGCCAGGAGGAACCGCAGACGAGGAGGGAGACAGCCACCATGCGGTGGCGAGGAGCCGGCGCTACCAACGATTGCCCAAGCTCTGCGGTCCTCCGGCTATTAAGGCGTTATCGGTCAATTAACGGCGAGCATTTGTATGTGGGAGGAAACGGACCAGCCGGAGAGAAACCCGCGCGTGCGACGGGTAAAACACTTCATCCCGTAAGGATGTACATGAGTCCACACATTTTGCTGCCTTCAGTACTGCCCGTTTAATTTATAGCGAGATGCAGAGGAAAGTCAGAAGCAACGATCCAGGACGGCAGAACGACTTCCCGGACTGACTTTCTGTACTGAAAGAATAACAATAATTGTACTGGATCGGGACACCGTGCGAACGTGTGTGCGCGAGTGTGTGCGAGCGTGTGCGAGCGTGCATGTATGAGCACACGTGCGTGTATGTGCATGTTGGGGGAGCGGTGGTGTAGCGGTTAGCGCGCTGCGCTATGAACCTGGCGACCCGAGTTCGATTCCCGCTCACGGCCAACACTAGTGACGATTATCTGAACCGGTCCCAGGCCTCCCCTAGGTCGACTCAGCCTCAAAATGAGTACCTGGTGCGGTGTGTAAATATCGCCACTGGGGAGACAAAGGCGGTCGGGCGTGGTGCTGGCCACCCACCCCCTCGTGTACCGTTCCGGCCTTCATAGGTGCTCGCTAACAGCACTTGCCCCTACAGTCTGTTAAGGCTATATGGGGGATCTTTGTCTTTGTTTTTTTTGTATGTGCATGTGGGCACGCGTGAGTGTGCGCGAGCGTGCGCGAGCGTGCGTGCGCGAGCGTGAGCGTGTGTGACACCACGTGCCTGGATCTTGGGCAGCACGGAGGTGATGGAGATGGCGAGGCAGAGCAGCATGTTGACGGAGACGAAGGCCTTGTTGGCGACGCAGCTCTCGTGGCCGGCGTAGAACAGGAAGAAGAGCACCACGGCCACGAGCGACACGGCGTAGCCCAGCACCGTCACCGTCATGAGCGCTGCGAGGGGGGGCGCCCACTCGCGCGAGTTACGGCACCATGCCAGTCACCGCCCCCCCCCCATCACCACCCCCGCGTCAGGTCGCACACGCGCTGCGCGTTATGGTCTATAGCGTTCACCGTGCGCGCCGAATGGGGGCTGGTTGGTGAGCGGGTAAGCAAAGGAATGACGAGCAGGTGGGCGAGTTGGCGAGTTGGCGAGCGGAGGAATGGGCAGGCGGGTGAGAGGGTAAACAGAAGTGGGCGAGCCGGTGAACGGGAAGGTGAGCAAGCAGGTGAATGGGTGAATGCATTAGTGGGAAAGTGGGTGAAGAGGTGAGCAGGTGAGTGGGTAAGCAGGAGCGAGGTAAAGTGGACAGGTAAGCGGGTAAATGGGCTAGTGGATGAACTAGTGAAGGAGTGAGCGTCAGAGCAGGATGGCAGGTAGGCGAGTGAGCGAGTGGGAAGGGTGAGCGAACGGGCAGGGTGAGCGGGCAGGGTGAGCGAGCGGGCAGGGTGAGCGAGCGGGCGGGTGAGCGAGCGGGCGGGTGAGCGAGTGGGTGAGCGGATGGGCAGGTGAGCGAGCGGGCGGGTGCGAGAGTGGGCGGGTGAGCGAGCGGGTGAGCGGACGGGCAGGTGAGCGAGCGAGCGGGCAGGTGAGCGAGCGGGCGCGATCGACTTACCCGCATACCAACAGCGTGAGTTTCCCTCCTCCATCCTCTCGATCCAGGACTCGTTCCAGGAGTGGGCAAAGTCCACCAGGAGGATGAGCTGCATGAGGATGAAGCAGAACGCTCCGACCATGCCGACGTAAAACCACGCTGGGGGAGGGTGTCACCGGGAGGGGGGTGGGCGGGCGGTGGGGGGGGGGGGGTGGCGGGCGGTGGGGGAATGGTGGGAGGCGGTGGGAGGAGAGACAAAGTTACAATGCTACCACTTTATTGATGGGCGGTACCGTTACGTTTCGAAGGGGTAGAAGTCATTTACTCTCGAAAATGAGAATGATCCCAGAGTTCTCGTCCTGGTTGAACGAAATAACCAACGGCGACGATAATAAACATACGCCCACACCAGAGCAAGTCCTCCGTTTACTTTTGGGATGCGTCCTTGGAAAATGTGACGTCAGGCGAAACAACGTCAATCGAAACCCATTCTACCGTTACATTTAGTGTATGTTCCCGGGAGTAATTTTGTGGTCAAAATTTTGTAGACGAAAATATTAGGTACCAAAATACAATTAAAAAAAGGATACTCAAAAGATATGATAGAACCAGTTTAAATATATAATGTAATAAGAGTACTCTCCAGAGATGGGCTGCAGGAGAGAAGGTCGCACAGTATCCAGTATGGGTATTAGGAAACCACGAGAGCTACGCACTTTTAAATTTCGGTTGAAAACTCATTTATTTAGAGCTGCTTTTTGGGATTAGCTTGTCCTTTCCATGCACCTCCGGTTGGCTACGTACGGCGTGAAACAAATTCAACATAGTACACATACGTGCCGAAGTTGACAAACACCGAGGGGTGATAGCCCACTAGGGGGCGCCGTGGTATAGCGAATCAATGCAGTTTAAATCGAAGTTCACCATACTGCCACTTTTTTTTTATTTTTACCAGGTGAGGCCCACTGAAGAAGCGACCAGGCCATACACAAATTATAGGCTCAATGAAGTGGCCCATCATTATGTGGCAATTTCTAGCAGCCGCCAAATACTCTAAACGCGTGATCTCGATTCTAAACGTGGAGGATAAAAACCTAAAATCCACGCGACCACGGTGAGAGACAGACATGCGCAAACTCCAAATATACATCAGGCATCAAGGGTCGGGATCGAACTCGCGACCCTCTATATACCAGGCGAGGGAGTTAACATCTCCTAGCCACCGCGGCGCCCCTTCTTTACCTTCCCTAACTCATTGGGCGATGTTCTAGCGGAGGCGACGTAAATAGGGGGCGACGTAAACAGAGGACTTCCTGTCGTGGTTTGTTGCGAAGGGTTCAACCCTCTTAGCCACTCACCGGTGGTGAAGCCGCCTTTAGGGATGAAGAAGGACCCGACCAAGATGCCGACGAGCAGGAGGAATTTGAGCAGCCAAAACCTGCAGAAGAACAGACGGCGTAAGTGGGGGGGGGGGGGAAACTGCTGTGTATTTTCAACGCTCTCTCCGACGACGGCTGCAAAAATTCACGTGCGCCGGCTCTGTCCGTCCCTGTCATTCCGTTGCGGTGGGGGGTAAACGGTAATTCTTCAGCCGGATGGCGGTGGCTACGCTGCCTGCAATCCACCGGCACCGTGCCGGAGGCAGCAGCGAGGGGCTGGAGGATCACCGCAACAAATGGTGTGAGAATCCCTTCCCGTGGGTGGGCGCCAAGGAGGAACAGTACTCCTGGCTCGCCAGGAAAAGGCAGTGCGACAGGGTGCGGACTAATATCATTTGGCTAATGGCGATAAACCGGGTGGCGATGGCTAAGCTACCCGTGGCCTGTAACCCAGCACTGTGGAGGAGGCAGAGAGGGTTGGTGGATCACACACAGATGTGAAACTCCCTTCCCGTGAGCAGTGTATGAATGTCTGAACTTCTTTCTTGCCGCATGTAACCAACCGTGCAAACCGGAGGTGGCGGGGGAAGGACAACAGACTAAACACAAAAAGCAGTGTTGAGGAGGAGCCGAACCCTGGCTCGCCAGGAGCAAGCGGCATTGGAAAATGTGGAATCCATCTATTCCGTCTGTATGGGATTGGTATATCCCCCCTTCCACACGTGCGTTTTCTCCAGGTACTCCGGAGGAAACCCATTATCGGTGCGGCATCTTCTCCTAGGCAGAGCTAGGGTACCGGCTGCCTACACGGTGCCGGGTCACAGGCATGAGGGCCACCGCACCGCCCCCGGCTACGGGCGCCGCTATGAGGACCGTTCGCCATGATCCACACAACGATTGCTCGGCCGCGGCGCGTGTCTCCCGCCACGGACCCGTTGTGCAGGTAGGCGCGAGGGTCGCGGCTCGTCTTCACGTTGATGGTGATGATCGACAGCAGCAGGAAGAAGACGGAGAGCGAGAAGCACACGCGGTACACGGCCTCGTATCCCACGAGCGCGTCACAGTTCACGTAGCCGTGCACGCCGGGCACCTGCGTGCCGGCGCCGCCATGGCACAGCGCTGGCACCTGCGTGTTGCCGGTGTCGGGGGGGGGGGGCAGGCAGAGGGCAGGAAGAGGGGGAAGAGACGGGCAAGCGCACACACACACACACACGCGCGCTATGAGTGGCAATATACTCACATGGGGAATACAATGCAACGTCGTCCACCCGATGCTGAAACTACTGCAGGCTGCGGCCTTGCGCTACGTGAATGATAGCGGAGACACCGAATGTACCGACGATTTAATTTGAAAGACAAGGATCCTCAAATGTCCTTTAACAGGCTGTTGAGCAAAGTGCTGTTTATAGCGAGCAGCACCTATGAAGGCCGGCACGGCACACGAAAGGGTGGTGTGGACAACACCACGCCCGGTGGCCTTAGTCTCCCTAGTGGCGATGTTTACACACCTCACCAGGTACTCCTTTGAGTCGACCTAGGCCCGGCTCGGGTATAATCGTAAATGGTGTCGGCCACGAGCGGGACTAAAACTCCGGTCCCCGGGGTTCGTAGCGCAGCGCGCTAACCACTACACTACCGCTCCCCACAGTAACACACGCGCACGCAGTCACATACCTTCTTGAGCTGATTCTCGAGCCCCGGTGCCAGCATCACGGCCGCCATGATGGTACCAAGCAGCAGGAAGAAGGCGTAGACGAGGCGCGTCACCGTCGACGTGCGGCCGCTGGGGCAGCAGCTGCACAGCAAGCAGGACGCACGGCCACACAGGCACGGGATCTGTGGGGGCGAGGGGGAGGGAGGGAGGGAGCGGGGGGAGGGAGGGGGGGGCGAGGAGGGGGGCGAGGGAGGGGGGCGAGGGAGGGGGAGCGAGGGAGGGGAGCGAGGGAGGGGGGGGCGAGGGACGGGGGGGCGAGGGAGGGGGGCGAGGGAGAAAAGAGTAAGGGGGAGAGTGAGGGGGGCAATAAGGGGGGCAATAAGGGGGGCGAGGGACGGAGGGGCGAGGGAGGGGGGCGAGGGAGGGGGGCGAGGGAGGGGGGGCGAGGGACGGAGGGGCGAGGGAGGGGGGCGAGGGAGGGGGGCCAGGGAGGGGGGCCAGGGAGGGCGCGAGAGGACACAAGGCAGGTACAGACAGCATTAGGAGGCCATTATGAGCCGCGTCTCCAACTAACCACAGAACTCCTCTTACACACGTCCCTATTATCCGTCCCTCCTATTGTCCGCCAATCCTATTATCCATGGCCGATGTAGCGTCCAAAAAAAAAACACCTAACACCGGTGGCCCTATTCCTTGCTGTTGTGTCTAAAAATATCCCCGTAAGTATTTGCGAAATGGCAAATGATAGGACCCGCGCCAAGTTTCATCCTATTACATGCGAACTCAATGACCCGAAAACACTAGAACTTGTGATTAGACCGTATTCTCGAAGTGCAGCGAGTTGATGGTCTCAGCCCTGTACTCTTTGGTTCTATTCGGTAAAGTCACGTAGGTAAAAAAATAAAACAACAAAAATCACGACGTTTCGGCCACAACACAAGCGGCCTTCATCAGGTGAAGGGATCAGGCTGTCTCGAGGACAGCGCTGGAGTGAAACACAGCCACGCTCAGAACGCGGACCTTTAAGCTGTGTGCGAGTAAACAAGGTGCCTTGACAAAGGAATTAGCATTAAAAAATAGCATTTGATTGGCCGACTTAGCATAGAGGTGGTGTACATGCGGGTGGACTTGCCGTTTGGCGCGGTGGAGGGGGGGGAGTTTACCTATTGATGGTGTGAAAAGGGAATTTATAAGAGCTGCGAAAGTTTGGGGTACCACTACTTGAAAAATATACTGTACCATTGAAATTAGTTTCAATGGTACAGTTTCAATGGTACAGGGGAGGGTCTCAGCCTGGTCACCAGTGGCTTAGATAGAGACCCACCGACTCGTATAGATTCAGAGATAATGAATCAATGACTAAAAATACACGCATTCCGAATGCGAGGGCCATCGAAGTTTTTGTACAGTTTGTTGCTGTAACGTCCTTACCCCGTGCCCCTCACTCCCGGACACGTGAAAGGACGCTTTATAGCTCATCGGATTCCTCCCGTATAAAATACTGCAGATTTTTTTTTTTTAATCTGAAACGTGGCCATTATTTGTTGTTAATTTACTCAATTGTCTGTGGCGGGTTTAAAGACGCATTTGCATCGAGGCGATCTTACCCAAAACACCTCGCTATCAGGGGACACACGTCTTGAAACGCGGCCACCACGAACACCGTCAAAAGCCTCCTCGTGGACCACCACCATTAAGAGGCGAGACGTTCAAGAAGCCCTCCACCCCTCAGACGAGGCCGGCGAGGGGGACCCTTCGGGACGCCGAGTCATGCGGCTCCCTGGAGGAAGGCCTCCCGTAAACCCCCGCACTGGGGAGGGCGCGGCAGAGGCGGGTGGCGTGGACGAGGGAGGCCTTGTTCATACAGCAGCGGATTGACCATGGCTGCCGACGATTATTACGACGAGGACGACGAGGAGGGTGACAATGAGCGCGAGGGAGCTGGCCGTGATGAGCGCGTCCGCCCTGCCTGCCGCCCGCTCATAAAACAAACAAACAACAAACAAACAACACTAAAATCTCAACTCACCCAGCTCGCAATGGAACAGATGCCAATCGCGGCTCCCATGGCGGCGGGTGGAACGTCGGCTCCTCTTGCGACGACTTCTTAGTTCTGCTTTAGACTCCTCCTGCTGCTGCTCGTGGTTGTTGTCGTTGTTGTCGCTGCTTGCTGCGTGCGACGCGGGGAAGGGGAATTCCGCGATTGCTCTTCCGAGTTTACGTGCGTGGTGACGTCACGGCGCAGGACCGACGTAATGACGTACGCGACCTCGTGCAGAGAGTTTACGTGCGTGATGACGTCGCGACGCTGACGGAATGACGTGATCGACGCGATGACGTACGCGACCTTGTGCCGAGAGTTTACGTGCGTGATGACGTCGCGACGCTGACGGAATGACGTAAGCGACGCGATGACGTACGCGACCTCGAGCCGCGGATACGAAGGTGGTGCGTGTCACGGCGCGGGACTGACGCAATGACGTACGCAACCGTAATGACGCACGCAAACTTTTCCCCGGACAGCCGCGTCTCTCGACAAAGACACGTACGCGGTTGTTGTTACGTCATCACGCACGGCGGTGTTGTTTACATACGTAAATATTCTTAGTTTTTTCGGTAAAGTCACGTTGAGTTATGGTCGAAACGTCGTGATAATTTTTTATTGTTTTATATATATTTTATTATTTTGTTGTTTCTCTTCAACGTGACTTTACCGAAAAAACTAAGAATATGAATTACTGCAGTCACGAAAGCTTTAAATCAAAATTTACATACGTAAAGTTACGGTGACGCCATTACGCACGGCGTCTTCCCCCCCCCTTCACCACCCAAGGGTTACGGTGACACAATTACGTGCGATTGGCAAGCGAGGTAAACAACGCGATGACGTCATCGCGCATTTATTGCCGTTGTCGCACGTTACGTGACAGTGTTGGTTGACGTCACCGCTGTGACACCAGCTTACACGTCTACGGTGACGTCATCACGCGCGAGCGCCGCTATGGTAACGCCTCGATTGTACCACCTTGTCAATAAAAAACAGGGGACATCAACTGACCGAGATTCAATGAACGTTTTTGCAAATAACATCTTTGCCACGCGAATGCTCGCTTTTATATTGTACAGATAACTTAGACTGAAAATAGTTTCGTAACAAATGGCTGATTTTAGTCCTAAGCGATGTGAATTTAGAAGATTGAGTTTCAAAAACCTCTCCCAGCCCCCCCTCCCCCCTCCTGAGCTCGCAGTTGGTAGGGGCACGATTGTGTAACAGGTCAGGGGTTGCGAGGCGGCTGGACGCGCTGTCACTCCGCGTTGCGGTGATGGTTTGCCCTGCAACTGATCTCGTTCGCATTGTGACGGCGATCGCCTTGTATCGTCAGTCACGTTAGTAAATTGTCGATCGCGTTGTTATCGTCAGTTCACATCGCGGCGGTAACAGCGAGGGCGGGAGCGAGAGCGACGCCGCTTCAACCCGAAGGCCCTCGCCTCAATCGCAGCCCAAAAGGCGGCCCTGTATGTGAGCGGTGAGTCGTACGCAGAACTTTAAAGCTTGCGTGACTGCAGGGAATTCATATTCTTGGTTCTTTCGGTAAAGTCACGTAGATAGAAAACAAAAATCGAAGTTAAAAGCAAAAATAAAACCCCACGACGTTTCGATGGCAACGCAAGCGGTCTCTGCTTTTCTCTCTCTCCACCTGAAGAAGGCCGCTTGTGTTGCGATCGAAACGTCGTGGGAGGGGGGGGGTTTGTGCTTTTAATTTAGATTTTTTTTTGTTTTCTATCTACGTTACCTTTTACCGAAAGAACCAAGATTATGCGTTACACAGTATCAATAATGTGATCACAGCTGACTTTACACAACAGTTATTATTGTTTTGATTTAAAGCTTTCGTGACTGCAGTAATTCATATTCTTAGCTCTTTCGGTAAAGTAACGTTGAAGGGAAACAAAATAATAAAAAAATATATATAAAACAATAAAAATTCTCACGACGTTTCGACCATAACACAAACGGTCGTCATCAGTTTGTGTTATGGTCGAAACGTCGTGAGAATTTTAATTGTTTTATATATATTTTATTGTTTTATTGTTTCCCTTCAACGTGACTTTACCGAAAGAGCTAAGAAAATAGTTATTATTGTTAAATAATTGGCGAGAATGCTGTTGTTACTCACTAGGTGTGACTAAGTTTATGTTGATTACGGTACCGCATTGACATTGTTAATGCATTAACATTGTTAATGCGGTACCATATTAACATTAGCTTTATATTGTTCGTATCAATAATGGCTTTTGTTCGGATTCTATTTACTCGCTTTGACGGAATTGCTGCTATGATTTGCACGTTCGCTCTGCTCCGTAAGTGATCAAATAAACGTGGTTTCATCTTCTTTGGGTCTTTCGGTAAAGTCACGTAGAATTAGAATAAAATAATAAATTGATAAAATAAAATAACACAATAATATTCTCACGACGTTTCGGCCACAACACAAGCGGCCTTCCATCAGGTTGTGTTGTGGCCGAAACGTCGTGAGAATTTTTATTGTGTTATTTTATTTTCTCAATTTATTATTTTATTCTCATTCTACGTGACTTTACCGAAAGAACCAAAGAAGATGAAACCTTGCAGTCACGAAAGCTTTAAATCGAAATTTAAACGTGGTTTCGTTTCGTCTGCACCGTGTTTGCGTGTTGAACTTTGACGAAGCCGCCGACCGTGATAATCGGTGGTGCCGGATGGAAGGACAACTAACACGAACACAGTTCTAAAGAGTTTGTTAATCTAGACGATGATGATTTAAAAGTTGCCCCGCTCCCGGTGGCTTCCTATAACATCGGAAGGGGAGAGCGTTCCAGACGGCCCGCAGAAGCGCGTCTGAAAGAACGCGATGCTTTAAGTTTTCATTTATTTGGTATAGCCCCTGTGAGCCATTCGGCTCTTGAATCGTATGCAACCGCAAAAAAACCTAAAAAAACATGAACAAGAAAAACATCTTAAAGCGACCATCATTTGTGGCAAGCGCTTGTGTTTGTGGCCGAAACGTCGTGATAATTTTTATTGTGTTATTTTATTTTATCAAGTTATTATTTTATTCTCATTCTACGTGACTTTACCGAAAGAACCAACGAAGGTGAATCCTTGCGGTCACGAAAGCTTTAAATCGAAATCTTAAAGCGACTTCCAGGGAGAAATAAAAAAAACCCAGCAAAGTCTTCCAGAAAAAGCACCGGACATGAACGCTGTGTGCAAAAAAACTCCCAGTGGGATGCCGTGACCAGCGGAGTTTGCGTGATGGTTTACGCTCCTCGGACGAGATCAGCAAGCTTACACATGTGTGTTTGTTGAACTTATTTCGCGCCGATAAAAGAGCGTTATAACTCAGTGGGCCTCACCTGGTAAAATTTAAAAAAAGTGGTAGTATTGTAGAGTGTACTTCCATTTGAACTGCATTGATTCGCTATGCAACGGCGCCCCCTAGCGGGTTACCACCACTCGGGTGTTTAAAACTTCGGCACGTATGTACGTACGTACTCTTGTTGAGCTTCTTTCGCCGCCGTACGTAGCCAATCGCGTTCATCGGAGGTGCGGCTGAAGGACAACAGACTAAACACAACAAGCAGTTATAAAGAAATTAGTTTGTCAGTCTAGATGATGATGATTTAAAAGTCTCGCAGCTCCCAGTGGCTTCCTAATATCGGAAGGAAAGAGCGTTCCAGACGGCCGCAGAATCGCCATCCGAAAGTGCGCTATGGGGTGACCACCGTCTTTCTGCGATGGTTAGCAGCCGCTGCTGCTGCTGCTGCGAGGATGAGCAGAGTTCGCGTGATGGTTTGTGCCCCTTGACGAGATCGGGGAGTGGGGGGGAGGGTGTTGTGGTTCATTTGTGGCAAGCGCTGTGTGTGTGCAATGCGTGCGAACCTTGTAAGGTATTCGTTCGGCAACCGGAAGCCAATGCAGCTCGGCGAGCAGTGGACGGTACACGTTCGAACCCTACAGTACCCGTCGCGACCCTTGACATCGTCCCTCCACTCAAGTCCATCGCCCCGTGTGTCTTCCCTGTTTGACTCCGTCTGGGCCCATGTGTCTCCAAGTCCGTGTCACTGCGTGTGTCCATGCGTTTGTCCATGTGTCTCTCTTGTCTCCCTCTGGCCCCATGATGCATCTCTAAGTCTCTCTGTCCTTATGTGTGTCAATGTGTTTGTCCCATTGTGTGCCCATCTGAAACTATCATGTGTACCAATATGCTTGTCTGTCTGTCTCGATATGTCTCTATGTATTGCCGTGTCTCTATGTGTGTCCCTATGTATGTGTGTTTATGTCATGTGAATCAATCCTTATGTATCTCCATGTGTCTCCCTATTTATGTGTCCCTGTGTCTTTGTTGCTATTTGTCCTCGTGTGTCTCCGTGTATATGCCTTCAATTGTCAGTGTACATGTCTCTGCTTTTATGTGTCCCCATGTATCTCTGTTTGCCTCTGACCCCATTCCTCCCCATTTATTTTTGCCCCTATATGCTACCATGTGTCTCCAGCTATATGCCTCCCCATGTGTGTGCCTGTCCATATGTGTGTGTCCATGTGTGTGTGTCCCTGTCCATGTGTGTGTGTCCCTCTGTATTCCCACATCTCTTTGTCCATATGTTTCAAATTCTATCCTGTGTGTATGTATGGAGGAGCGGTAGTGTAGTGGTTTGCTCGCTAGCAATACGAACCCGGTGACCCGAGTTCGATTCCCGCTCATGGCCAACACCAGTGACGATTATATGTGAACTGATCCTGGGCCTCCCCTAGGTCGACTCAGCCTCAAATGAATACCTGGTGCGGTGTGTAAACATCGCCACTGGGGAGACGAAGCAGGCCGGGAGTGGTGCTGGCCACCCACCCCCTTGTGTGCCGTGCCGGCCTTCATAGGTGCTACTCGGTAACATCACTTGCCCCAACCGTCTGTTGAGGCTATACGGGGGGATCTTTGTCTTTTGTGTTCTCATCACCACCACCACCACCACCCCTACCGTGTCTCCACAGAGACGCCGGGGCGTGCCACGAATCCTGCCATCTCCCTCGATGTCCCGTCGTCCTCCCGCGCACCACCACCGTCGTCACCACTAATCCTCCTCCTCTTCCACTTCACCATCCGCCTCCTCTGCCCAGCGGCCCCCCCCCCCCCCCCCTCTGCCCACCCCCCCCCCCCTCCTCTGCCCCCCGCGGTGCCGATGAGCGCGTACGAGCGTTCGCTGTGCCGCTTCGTGGACGCCGGTCGCTCGGGCCGGCGGAACGCGTTGCCCGACATCATGGCGGCGCCGTCCTCGGTGGGCACGGCGGGCCTCTCGGAGCAGCTGGCGCACGCCCTCACGCTGCTGGGGCCCGGTACGCTCTCGGCACCGCGGCGTCGGCGAGCGTGGGACGCGCGCAACCGCAACAGGGCGGGCGCAGGCGGGGGAGCGCACGCGCGCGACCGGCGCCAGAGCGAAACGGCGACGCGGGATGCTCAGCGCTCCAAAGCGCACGGTGACAGAGCGAGCGACTCGCCGTGGGGAAGGTTTGCGAGTTCAAACTCTGGTTTTGGGGTTGGCCTCGGCTTATCGTCCCGCCGGGGTCGTGAGAATTGCTACTGCTCTTTGGGGAAGCCAGCGATGGTCGTGCCATGGATAGGCTTTCACCCCCGCCACAGGAACGTGAATTTTCCACGACTGGCTCTGCAGGGCTGCACACGGGAGATGGGCCATGATGTCTCAATGCTCACTTTGAGTGCCTACTGAAGGCTGCGCCTGCAGTGATAGCAACGGCAGCAGCCAGACAGCCACCCCTAACCCAACGGATGCACCTACTGCAACAGCAGTACTAGCAAGCAAGAGCCAGCAAAAAAACAGCAGTAACGCACTCACAGCAACGCTAACAGCGGTAGCACCATTTACTCTTATCATAGCAACAGCAGCTCCAACAGTTACGTAGTCGGCCTCAACATTTGCTTTTTGATAGGCCCACATGGTACGCATGCATTTGTGTCTGTGTACATGCGTGGGGATCGGTAGTGTAGCGGTGAGCTCACTCTGCTACGAACCTGGCGACCCCATTTCGAATCCCGCTCGCAGCCGACATCGGTGACGATTTATCTGAACTGGTCCTGGACCACCCCTAGGTTGACTCAGCCTCAAATGAGTAGTTGGTACAGTGTGTAAAGATCACCGCTCAGGAGACCAAGGCCTGGTGCTGGCCACACAACCCTGTCGTGTGCCATGCCAAACACTTGCCCCAACAGTTTGTTTCGGCCATACGGGGGATTTTTGTCTTTGTTGTATGTCTTCATGTGTGTCTTTGCATGTGTGTGTCTGTATGTGTCTTGGTGTGTGCTTGTTGTTCTAGGAGAGCCACCGACTGGCCTGACTCAGGGTTGTCTTCAGAGCGATGGCTCGGCGGCCAGGCTCGGAGACGGAACGGAACCCAAGCGATGAGGGTTTCTCCACCGGCCCCTTTGCACAAGTCTAGGGAACACTGAACACTAGTCACACTGGACACAAGTCACACTGAACACTAGTCACACTGAACACTAGTCACACTGAACACTAGTCACACTGAACACCAGTCACAGTGAACACTAGTCACACTGAACACCAGTCACACTGCACACTAGTCACACTGCACACCAGTCACACTGCACACTAGTCACACTGAACACTAGTCACACTGCACACTAGTCACACTGAACACTAGTCACACTGAACACTAGTCACACTGAACACTAGTCACACTATTCACACTGAACACTAGTCACACTAGTCACACTGAACACCAGTCACACTGAACACTAGTCACACTGAACACAAGTCACACTGAACACTAGTCACACTGAACACCAGTCACACTGAACACTAGTCACACTGAACACTAGTCACACTGAACACCAGTCACATTGAACACTAGTCACACTGAACACCAGTCACACTGAACACTAGTCACACTGCACACTAGTCACTGCACACTAGTCACACTGAACACCAGTCACACTGAACATCAGTCACACTGAACACCAGTCACACTGAACACCAGTCACACTGAACACCAGTCACACTGAACACCAGTCACACTGAACACCAGTCACACTGAACATTAGTCACACTGAACATTAGTCACACTGAACATTAGTCACACTGAACACCAGTCACACTGCACACTAGTCACACTGAACACTAGTCACACTCGTCACACCAGTCACATAGAACACTCAATCGAACATAAAATGCACACACTCGTCACAGGCATACTGGACACGACTCAATAGCACATTGACCACGATGCAGGTACACAATTAACACTAGGCAATGTAATACTGAACACTTACCCACGTGTCTTTAGAAAACTATTCAAGTTCTTACTGACCACGAGTCAAAATGAATGCTATTCAGCTACACATTGAACAATGCTGAACACTATGCAGATGTATACTGCACACTGGTCATACTGTGCATACATAACACTATTCAACAGCATACTGAACAGCGTTCATATGGCATCTTGAACAGTGTTCATGAGCTTACTGAACACTTCGGTTGCATAAGCATACTGAACTAATGCAAACTGAACACTACCTATAATCAACATTATGCAGGTGTGTACTTAACACAAATGATACCGAACACTACTCACTGGCAAACGGAACAATCAAACTGGCGTATACGGAACTCTATTCAATAGCATGCTGAGCACTATGCAGTTGCTGATTGAACACTAATCACATGGCACACAAAAGCCATATTGAACACTAGTCAACTAGCCAAGTGCACAGTGACCACTAGTTAAGTGCATGCTGACCACCACTAGTCATGCTGAACGCTTGTCCAGCGCACACTTTCGGTTGGGAATTGGCCAAAAATCCCGAGCCTCGAGACTTGGTGAGGCTTTTGCTGGGTAAAACAGCGCAGGAGCCACTGTTGTTTTGGGCGGTCATTCACGGGAGCAAAACTTGCACAGAGCTCCGGTCGAACCTCTCCCGCGCACAGAGAGACCCTACGATTGATCTTTCGTACGGGATCGACGGCATTGTTAGCGAGCACCTTTCAAAGCCGGAATGGCACGCGAGGGCGCCAGCATTTAAGGCTAGGTCCACCTAGGGGAGGCCCAAAATAGCTTGCCGGTGATGTTTGCCACGGCCAGGAATCAAACCCGGGTCGCTGGGAAAATGCAGCGCAGCGTGAAACCCACTGCCCTACAGCTTAAGACAAAGACCCCCGTATAGCCTTAACAGGCATTTGGGGCAAGTGCTGTTCGCGAGTACCCATGGTGGCCGGCATTGCACACCAGGGGGTGGGTAGCCAGCACCACGTCTCCCTAGTGGCGATCTTGACACACCGCACCAGGTCCCCATTTGAAGTTGAGTCGACCTTGGGGAGGCCCAGAAACGTTTTCAGATAATTATCGTGACCGGTGTTGGCTGTGAGCACGAATCAAACGCGGGTTCGCTGGGTTCATCGCGTAGCACGCTTGCCACTATGCCACCGCTCCCCGGGCTTAACGCAGACAAATATTCCCCTTGTAGCCTGAGCAGACTTTGGGGAAAGTGCCGTTAGCGAGCACCTCAGCTTAACGCGCACACGCGCACAACGCGCCTCGCGTACGCACAATAGCACGTGCTCATCTCATGCGTAGAAGGTACGCGCATCTGCACACAGCTCTTAACTGGACGAATAACACACAAGCACGTAGCTGCACACGTGACACGCGCTAACTGGAAGGGAACAACAGAACAGGGGCCATAGTTTCGCCTTTTGACTCGCGGCCTCTGCAAATATTTATTTTGTTTGCCGATCGGAGCTAGCGTTTTGCCAACATTTTCCAACGAGCGTAGAGGCTACTGCGATCGATTCTCTCGCCTTGTGCTCTGCCTCGGAAATTTACCGTCGCAGCCACTTAGTCAATTCGCTGCTGGGGGTTGGGGTTCTCGCCCCCCCCCCCACTGCCTGCCGCACAACTCGTGCGGGTTGTCTGACCATACTTCACCACCCTGGGTCAATGTGTGCGGCTGGTGGAGGCTGAGGGGGTGGGGGGGGGTCGGGGAGCACCCGCGGGTGATGGGAGCACAGAAGCACTGCGCAGCGATTGACTTTTGCCGGCGTTTTTCTTCCATTTCCCACCCGTAAGAGCCTATAGCAACTTGTTTTGGTGCGCGGGGGTCGCCCATCCAATCACTGTCCAGGCTCAAACCCCCGCTTAGCTTCTGATGTTAAATGCTTTTTAAAAAAAAAATTGTTCGCTTGGTATTTCTGTCGTCATGGCAACGCGAGGCTATCGCGAAGGTGAGGCGTTTGGGTTACGTGACGTGTTGGCGCCTCACAAAATATAGTCGTGTAAAGTCACGGATTGATATAGTCGGCTAGTACAGGGGGTGTGATGTTTGCGATGTGGCGTTTACGCACCTGGGCGAATCTTTTTCAAACTCGGAAAATATGATCTCTTAAGTGTCCATCGGTCCGAGCAGCCTCTTGTCGACGACGAATATTTATTTACAAACGAACGCTTCCCCCCGTGTAGACGACGGAGGACGCTTTTGCTTTTTTTGCTTCGAGTTCGGTCGAGCACGGCTTGGCTTGGGAGGGAGTTGTTTGCGGATACGGGACGCGGAGTGGCCACCCGTCCACTTGAATGGCGGTGCCGCTGGTGGTAAGGGAGAGCCCTCCCATGCGGTCGTCAGGCGAGGGGGGCACACCGACGCTCCGAGCGTTTAGCAGGGGCGCAGCCACCGGCAGGCGTCGTCGGGGTTCCAGATACACCCAACATGTTCCAGATGTGGCACAGAGACACGGCGGGTTTAGACGTGGCTAAGATACACAACAGATGTAGATGTGGCTGAGAGACACGACTGGTTTAGACGTGGCTAGGTGTCACAGCAGATGTAGATGTGGCTGAGAGACACGACTGGTTTAGACGTAGCTAGGAGACACAACAGATTTAGACGTGGCACAGAGACACGGCTGGTTTAGACGTGGCTAGGATAGACAGCAGATGTAGATGTGGCTGAGAGACACGACTGGTTTAGACGTGGCTAGGTGTCACAACAGATGTAGATGTGTCTGAGACACGACTGGTTTAGACGTAGCTAGGAGACACAACAGATTTAGACGTGGCACAGAGACACGGCTGGTTTAGACGTGGCTAGGATAGACAGCAGATGTAGATGTGGCTAAGAGACACGACTGGTTTAGACGTAGCTAGGTGTCACAGCAGATGTAGATGTGGCTGAGAGACACGACTGGTTTAGACGTGGCTAGGTGTCACAACAGATACAGATGTGGCTAAGAGACACAACTGGTTTAGACGTGGCTAGGTGTCACAACAGATATAGATGTGGCTGAGAGACACGACTGGTTTAGATGTGGCTAGGATACACAGCAGATGTAGATGTGGCTAAGAGACACGACAGGTTTAGACGTGGCTAGGTGTCACAACAGATATAGATGTGGCTAAGAGACACGACTGGTTTAGACGTGGCTAGGTGTCACAAGAAATGTAGATGTGGCTGAGAGACACGACTGGTTTAGACGTGGCTAGGTGTCACAACAGTTGTAGATGTGGCTAAGAGACACGACTGGTTTAGACGTAGCTAGGTGTCACAACAGATATAGATGTGGCTGAGAGACACGACTGGTTTAGACGTGGCTAGGATACACAGCAGATGTAGATGTGGCTAACAGACACGACTGGTTTAGATGTGGCTAGGATACACAGCAGATGTGGCTGAGAGACACAACGGGTTTAGACGTGGCTAGGTGTCACAACAGATATAGATGTGGCTAAGAGACACGACTGGTTTAGACGTGGCTAGGATACACAGCAGATATAGATGTGGCTAAGAGACACGACTGGTTTAGACGTGGCTAGGTGTCACAACAGATATAGATGTGGCTAAGAGACACGACTGGTTTAGACGTGGCTAGGAGACACAGCAGATGTAGATGTGGCTGAGAGACACGACTGGTTTAGACGTGGCTAGGATACACAACAAATGTAGATGTGGCTAAGAGACACGACTGGTTTAGACGTGGTTATGATACACAGCAGATGTAGATGTGTATAAGAGACACGACTGGTTTAGACGTGGCTAGGTGTCACAATAGATGTAGATGTGGCTAAGAGACACGACTGGTTTAGACGTAGCTAGGTGTCACAACAGATATAGATGTGGCTAAGAGACACGACTGGTTTAGACGTGGCTAGGTGTCACAACAGATGTAGATGTGGCTGAGAGACACGACTGGTTTAGACGTGGCTAGGTGTCACAACAAATGTAGATGTGGCTGAGAGACACGACTGGTTTAGATGTGGCTAGGTGTCACAACAGATATAGATGTGGCTAAGAGACACGATGGGTTTAGACGTAGCTAGGATACACAGCAGATGTAGATGTGGCTGAGAGACACGACGGGTTTAGACGTGGCTAGGTGTCACAACAGATGTAGATGTGGCTGAAAGACACGGCTGGTTTAGACGTAGCTAGGATACACAGCAGATGTAGATGTGGCTAAGAGACACGACTGGTTTAGACGTGGCTAGGTGTCACAACAGATATAGATGTGGCTGAGAGACACGGCTGGTTTAGACGTGGCTAGGATACACAGCAGATATAGATGTGGCTGAGAGACACGACTGGTTTAGACGTAGCTAGGATACACAGCAGATGTAGATGTGGCTGAGAGACACGACTGGTTTAGACGTGGCTAGGTGTCACAACAAATGTAGATGTGGCACAGAGACACGACTGGTTTAGACGTAGCTAGGAGACACAGCAGATGTAGATGTGGCTAAGAGACACGACTGGTTTAGACGTGGCTAGGATACACAGCAGATGTAGATGTGGCACAGAGACACGACTGGTTTAGACGTGGCTAGGATACACAGCAGATAGATGTGGCTAAGAGACACGACTGGTTTAGACGTGGCTATGATACACAGCAGATGTAGATGTGTATAAGAAACACGACTGGTTTAGACGTGGCTAGGTGTCACAATAGATGTAGATGTGGCTAAGAGACACGACTGGTTTAGACGTAGCTAGGTGTCACAACAGATATAGATGTGGCTAAGAGACACGACTGGTTTAGACGTGGCTAGGTGTCACAACAGATGTAGATGTGGCTGAGAGACACGACTGGTTTAGATGTGGCTAGGTGTCACAACAGATATAGATGTGGCTAAGAGACACGATGGGTTTAGACGTAGCTAGGATACACAGCAGATGTAGATGTGGCTGAGAGACACGACGGGTTTAGACGTAGCTAGGATACACAGCAGATGTAGATGTGGCTGAGAGACACGACTGGTTTAGACGTAACTAGGTGTCACAACAGATATAGATGTGGCTAAGAGACACGACTGGTTTAGACGTAGCTAGGTGTCACAACAGATATAGATGTGGCTAAGAGACACGACTGGTTTAGACGTGGCTAGGTGTCACAACAGATATAGATGTGGCTAACAGACACGACTGGTTTAGACGTGGCTAGGTGTCACAACAGATGTAGATGTGGCTGAGAGACACGACTGGTTTAGACGTGGCTAAGATACACAACAGATATAGATGTGGCTGAGAGACACGACTGGTTTAGACGTAGCTAGGATACACAGCAGATGTAGATGTGGCTAAGAGACACGGCTGGTTTAGACGTGGCTAGGTGTCACAACAGATGTAGATGTGGCTGAGAGACACGACTGGTTTAGACGTGGCTAGGAGACACAGCAGATGTAGATGTGGCTTAGAGACACGACTGGTTTAGACGTGGCTAGGTGTCACAACAGATGTAGATGTGGCTAAGAGACACGACTGGTTTAGACGTGGCTAGGTGTCACAACAGATGTAGATGTGGCTGAAAGACACGGCTGGTTTAGACGTAGCTAGGATACACAGCAGATGTAGATGTGGCTAAGAGACACGACTGGTTTAGACGTGGCTAGGTGTCACAACAGATATAGATGTGGCTGAGAGACACGGCTGGTTTAGACGTGGCTAGGATACACAGCAGATATAGATGTGGCTGAGAGACACGACTGGTTTAGACGCAGCTAGGATACACAGCAGATGTAGATGTGGCTGAGAGACACGACTGGTTTAGACGTGGCTAGGTGTCACAACAAATGTAGATGTGGCACAGAGACACGACTGGTTTAGACGTAGCTAGGAGACACAGCAGATGTAGATGTGGCTAAGAGACACGACTGGTTTAGACGTGGCTAGGATACACAGCAGATGTAGATGTGGCACAGAGACACGACTGGTTTAGACGTGGCTAGGATACACAGCAGATAGATGTGGCTAAGAGACATGACTGGTTTAGACGTGGCTAGGATACACAACAAATGTAGATGTGGCTAAGAGACACGACTGGTTTAGACGTGGCTATGATACACAGCAGATGTAGATGTGTATAAGAGACACGACTGGTTTAGACGTGGCTAGGTGTCACAATAGATGTAGATGTGGCTAAGAGACACGACTGGTTTAGACGTAGCTAGGTGTCACAACAGATGTAGATGTGGCTAAGAGACACGACTGGTTTAGACGTGGCTAGGTGTCACAACAGATGTAGATGTGGCTAAGAGACACGACTGGTTTAGACGTGGCTAGGTGTCACAACAGATGTAGATGTGGCTGAGAGACACGACTGGTTTAGACGTGGCTAGGTGTCACAACAAATGTAGATGTGGCTGAGAGACACGACTGGTTTAGATGTGGCTAGGTGTCACAACAGATATAGATGTGGCTAAGAGACACGATGGGTTTAGACGTAGCTAGGATACACAGCAGATGTAGATTTGGCTGAGAGACACGACTGGTTTAAACGTAACTAGGTGTCACAACAGATATAGATGTGGCTAAGAGACACGACGGGTTTAGACGTAGCTAGGATACACAGCAGATGTAGATGTGGCTGAGAGACACGACTGGTTTAGACGTAACTAGGTGTCACAACAGATATAGATGTGGCTAAGAGACACGACTGGTTTTGACGTGGCTAGGTGTCACAACAGATATAGATGTGGCTAACAGACACGACTGGTTTAGACGTGGCTAAGTGTCACAACAGATGTAGATGTGGCTGAGAGACACGACTGGTTTAGACGTGGCTAGGATACACAGCAGATGTAGATGTGGCTGAGAGACACGACTGGTTTAGACGTGGCTAGGTGACACAACAGATGTAGATGTGGCTAAGAGACACAACGGGTTTAGACGTAGCTAGGATACACAGCAGATGTAGATGTGGCACAGAGACACGACTGGTTTAGACGTGGCTAGGATACACAGCAGATGTAGATGTGGCTGAGAGACACGACTGGTTTAGACGTGGCTAGGAGACACAACAGATATAGATGTGGCTAAGAGACACGACTGGTTTAGACGTGGCTAGGTGTCACAACAGATATAGATGTGGCTAAGAGACACGACGGGTTTAGACGTGGCTAGGATACACAACAGATATAGATGTGGCTGAGAGACACGACTGGTTTAGACGTGGCTAGGATACACAGCAGATGTAGATGTGGCTAAGAGACACGACGGATTTGGGGGGGGGGGGGTGGTTGGTGAACTCTACCGACCCTCTCTGTCGTCTACCCAGCAACCGCCGGGAACTATTTGCCCCCTTGGCGCCTGCTTGGCCTAATCGAATGGGGGGCTCTCTGCTAGCTCGTGTTTACCCTTTGCATGTGTCTTGTAAGCAATAACGTTACTGAACGTGAATTTAATAAAGAACATGTGATGCTGACGTTTTGAATTTGTACCCGTGTCCTTACCGTCGAGTTTCAAAGTTGATTTAGCTTCACAATGTACTCCTGTTTGTGTCGCCATGTGTCTCTGACCCCACGCCTCCCCATTTGTCTTTTTCAGTAAAACCTTGGATCGCGAGCATAATTCGTTCCGGAAACGTGTTTGTTATCCAAAGCACTCGTATATCAAAGCACTCGTATATCAGTTCTGATCACGTGACGCTCGGCAGACAAAGCGCATACGTACTGCTCGTATTGCAAGACCCTCGCTCGCTTATCAAATGAATATTTACTTACAATTTTTGCTCGTCTTGCAAAACACTCGCAGACCAAGTTACTCGCAATCCAAGGTTTCACTGTATATGCTTCCATGTGTGTCTCCATCTACATGTCTTTCCACGTGTGTGGCCTGTCCATGTGTGGGTCTGTCACTCTGTATTCCCACATCTCTCTGTGTGTTTCACATTCTATCCCCGAGTGACCCTATACCTTGTGTGTATCTAAGAAGGAGTGGTCGTGGAGCGCTTTGCTCGAATGACCTCGATTGTCACCAAATTGCAAAAGTCTAATTTGTAAAATGTTATTTACAGCGGTGACACTCGTGTGTAACAGCGAAGAGGACCTGAGTTTGATTCCCGTCTCGGGCGCCGCCTTTGTGTGGAGTTTGTGTGATCTCCCCCTGTTCTGTAGAGAGTGAGTGGAGTTTGTGTGATCTCCCCCTGTTCTGTAGAGAGTGAGTGGAGTTTGTGTGATCTCCCCCTGTTCTGTAGAGAGTGAGTGGAGTTTGTATGATCTCCCCCTGTTCTACAGAGTGAGTGGAGTTTGTATGATCTCACCCTGTTCTACAGAGTGAGTGGAGTTTGTATGATCTCCCCCTGTTCTACAGAGTGAGTGGAGTTTGTGTGATCTCCCCCTGTTCTGTAGAGAGTGAGTGGAGTTTGTATGATCTCCCCCTGTTCTACATAGTGAGTGAGTGGAGTTTGTGTGATCTCCCCCTGTTCTACAGAGTGAGTGAGTGGAGTTTGTATGATCTCCCCCTGTTCTACAGAGTGAGTGAGTGGAGTTTGTATGATCTCCCTCTGCTCTGTATGTGTTTTCTGCCGGGTTCTCAGGTTTCCTCCCACAGCTTATAAAACACACACAATGTCAGTGGTGTCAACCAAACATCCCGATGTAGCGGGATCCCTCCTAAGAAGAGTCTCGGCTAAAAACATAATTATTGTCTGGCCATCGTGTGAAGCTTTGTTTCGCGCGGCCACGTGAGACGTGCTCGACAATCATCGGGCGCGTGCAGCGTGCAACAACGCGTTGACCTGTATTGAAACGCGTTGGAGTAAACGGGTTAAACACGGAAAGCACGTGGTGGGGAGCGGGCGGGGGGGGGGGGGAAACTGGAGCTTAGGGGAAACCGTGTTGTCAAAGTTAAACATGTTAAGACGCAACCAATGCGCGCACAGCGCAATTAATCCCTTGCTTTAAAGCGGCACTTCTCCGGAACGCCATCTGCCGCGTTAAACGAGGAACTGCTCGCTGCACCTGCTCGCTCGCGCCGCTGCACAGGGGAAGGGGCCTCCGCCAGGGGAGAGGTCTGGAACGAGGTCTCCGGTATATTTGGTCGGTGGCAAAGGGGCGAGATGGCCGAGCTCAAGAGGCCACGCGACTGCACGGGAGCGACCGGGGAAAGGATGGGATGGAGAAATAATGACGGAGGCCTTTTCTCGGCAGTGGCAAGTTTAAGACTGACAACACCGAAAATAGTCTCTGGGTCTCTGTGTAAATCTGTGGGTCTCAGTGTGAGTTTGTGGGTATGTGTGAGTTTGTGGGTATGTGAGTCTGTGGGTCTCTGTGAGTTTGTGGGTCTTCGTGTGAGCCTATAGGTCTCTGTGTGAGTTTGTGGGTCTCTGTGTGAGTTTGTGGGTCTCTGTGTGAGTCTGTGGGTCTCTGTGAGTGTGGGTCTCAGTGTGAGTTTGTTGGGTCTGTGTGTGAGTCTGTGTGAGTCTGTGGGTCTCAGTTTGAGTGTGTAGGTCTCTGTGTGAGTCTGTGGGTCTCTGTGAGTGTGGGTCTCAGTGTGAGTCTGGATATCTTTGCGTGAAACCGATGGGTCTCGTTTCGCTGTTGGGAGTCTGTCGGTCTCTGTGCGAGCCTCTCAGCGATTCTGTGGGGCTCTGCGAATCCGCGGGCCAACGTTTGAGTCTACGAATCTCTGGGAGAATCTGTGGCTCAAAATTGTGCAAGTCTATGGGCCTCTGTGTGGGTCTGCGAATCTCGTTGAGTCGATTAAAAGAGAAAATGTGGCTGACAAAAACCACCACCACCACAACAGCAACAACAACTACATACAGATATTTTCTTTTTTAAGAAAATCACTTTTAAATTTATTAAAGACTGAGATCACCCTGTTAAATGGCTACAACAATCAGAAACGGAGCATCGGATCAGCTCCAGGATGCGCTAACCAGCGTAGTAGTATAAGCATGTACATCGCGTCGTGTTAACAATCGCAACATTCCGCTTATGGTCAGCGTTTAATTACACATTGAATACCGTCAAACGTCTACCTTGCTTGTACAGCTGTGGTCAGAGCACAGGAATAGAGTGGTGGGGATGGATGGTTGGGGTGGAGCGGTGGGGGTGGATGGTGGAGCGGTAGAGGCGGATGGTGGAGCAGGTGGGGGTGGAGCGGTGTGGTTGGATGGTGCAGTGGTGGAGCAGTGGGGATGGAGCGCTGGGGGTGGAGCTGTGGTGAGTTCACTTTGCTACGAACTCAGCCACCTGACGAGTTCGATTCCGGGCCACGGACAATATCGGTGGCTCGGAGTGATAGCCCATCCAGTCCTGAGCAACATCACCACTTACGCTCATCACCACTTACGCTCACCACCCACCCCCCCATCACCAATTTGCTGCACCGACCAGAATTGCGAAGTATGCTTAATGACCTCCATAACCGGCACAGCATGGGGAGGGCGTTCATCCAGCAGTGGATTTACTGTACATTACATTTAAAAAAAGCAACATTTGCAATTTAATTGTTACAATTTGTTTAAAACATTGATTTTTTTTGTTGCATATCAAGTGCTATTAATTAAGCGCTATTACACACGCAGGATCGCCAAAATTGGCCCAAAGTTGGCCCAACGTTGGGCCAACATTAACAACAACAACAAAAAGCCAACGTTGGCCCAACGTTTCCAACAACACACCAACGTTGGACCAAGGTTCTTAACAACAACATGCCAATATTGGTCCAATGTTGGGCCAACGTTCCCAACAACACGCCAACGGTTCCAAAAACACTCCCAACGTTGGCCCAACGTTCCCATAAACACGCCAACGTTGGCCCAACGTTCCCAACAACACGCCAACGTTGGCCCAACGTTCCCAACAACACGCCAACGGTTCTAACAACACGCCAACATTGGCCCAACATTGGCCCAACGTTGGCCCAACGTTGGGCCAACGTTGGCGTGTTGCTGGAAACGTTGGCCCAACATTGGGCCAACGTTTCCAGCAACACGCCAACGTTGCTCCAACGTGGGCGTGCTTCCTGGTACGGGACCGAGCCAATAAACACGAAATGTTGGGCCAACGGTTCCAAACCACACACTGACGGTGGCCCAGCGTTGGCACGCTTTAGCAAGGGGCAGCGAGCTGTCGTGGACACTCCACGAATGGTGAGCCGGTCACGGCAGTAATATCGCGGTAATATCAACGGGGCGGTCACGCGGGGTGGGGGGGGGGGGAGTAAATCGATTTTAAAACACGCCTCGCTGTGCGTTGCGCCCACCCCCCCCCCCCCGTTCCTGAAGAAGATCGTAGGGCACGTGAAGCGAAACGTCGGACATCGGGCACGCTGGTGCGCAGCCTGGAATCGCATCAGAGAGCCACAACCGCAGAAAATCTACGCAGTAGTGTTGTTTAAAAAAAATATCGAATGTATATCGATGTTATTGGCCGAGCCTTTTCACGTAGGCGTACTGTTCATAAACTCGTACACACAGCGGCTAGTGCGTACACCTATCTGCATATACGTGTGTGTGTATACATGCACATGTGCGTATGAAGTTTTACGTGTTTCAATACATTGTGGCCCCATGATCCTCAGGAGGGTAGAGTAGAGATGCAGGCTGCAGGGTAGAGACACAGGCTGCAGGGTAGAGACACGGCTGTGGAGTAGAGACACACGGCTGTGGAGTAGAGACACAGGCTGCAGGGTAGAGACACAGGCTGGGGAGTAGAGACACAGGCTGGGGAGTAGAGGCACAGGCTGCAGAGCAGAGACATGCTGGAGAGAGACAGGCTGGAGAGAGACAGGCTGCAGAGTGAAGACGCAGGTTGAAGAGTGGATATGCAGGCTGGAGAGAGACACGAGCTGCGGAGTGGAGACACGGGCTGCGGAGTGGAGACACGAGCTGCGGAGTGGAGACACGAGCTGTGGAGTGGAGACACGGGCTGCGGAGTGGAGACACGGGCTGCGGAGTGGAGACACGAGCTGCGGAGTGGAGACACGGGCTACAGAGTGGAGACGACACAGGCTACGGAGTGGAGACACGAGCTGCGGAGTGGAGACACGGGCTACGGTGTGAAGACACGGGCTGCGGAGTGGAGATGCAGCCTCTCACAGGATGGTGTCTTGCTCCATGCCGTACTCCTTGTAGAGTCTCTGCAGGAGCTGCTTCTTGTCGGGCTCCGCCAGGAACCCCGCACGTGCCGCGTTCAGGTTCTACACGGGAACGGGAGAAACATGAACACAGAGCCACAGACTCACGCAGAGACCCACAGACTCACGCAGAGAGCCACAGACTCACGCAGAGAGCCACAGACTCACGCAGAGAGCCACAGACTCACGCAGAGACCCACAGACTCACACAGAGAGCCACAGACTCACGCATAGACCCACAGACTCACGCGTAGACCCACAGACTCACACAGAGAGCCACAGACTCATGCAGAGACCCACAGACTCACGCAGAGAGCCACAGACTCACGCATAGACCCACAGACTCATGCAGAGACCCACAGACTCACGCATAGACCCACAGACTCACGCGTAGACCCACAGACTCACGCAGAGAGCCACAGACTCACACAAAGAGCCACAGACTCACGCAGAGACCCACAGACTCACGCGTAGACCCACAGACTCACGCAGAGACCCACAGACTCACGCATGGACCCACAGACTCACGCAGAGAGCCACAGACTCACGCAGAGACCCACAGACTCACGCGTAGACCTACAGACTCACGCAGAGCCACAGACTCACGCAGAGAGCCACAGACTCACGCATAGACCCACAGACTCACGCAGAGACCCACAGACTCACACAGAGACCCACAGACTCACGCGTAGACCCACAGACTCACGCGTAGACCCACAGACTCACACAGAGAGCCACAGACTCACGCAGAGAGCCACAGACTCATGCAGAGAGCCACAGACTCACGCAGAGAGCCACAGACTCACGCATAGACCCACAGACTCACGCATAGACCCACAGACTCAAGCAGAGAGCCACGCACCCACGCATAGACCCACAGACTCACACAGAGACCCACAGACTCACGCGTAGACCCACAGACTCACACAGAGAGCCACAGACTCACGCAGAGACCCACAGACTCACGCAGAGGGCCACAGACTCACGCATAGACCCACAGACTCACGCATAGACCCACAGACTCACGCAGAGAGCCACAGACTCACACAGAGCCACAGACTCACGCATAGACCCACAGACTCACGCATAGACCCACAGACTCACGCATAGACCCACAGACTCACACAGAGAGCCACAGACTCACGCATAGACGCACAGACTCACGCATAGACCCACAGACTCGCGCAGAGAGCCACAGACTCACGCATAGACCCACAGACTCACACAGAGAGCCACAGACTCATGCAGAGACCCACAGACTCACGCATAGACCCACAGACTCACACAGAGAGCCACAGACTCACGCAGAGACCCACAGACCCACGCAGAGAGCCACAGACTCACGCATAGATCCACAGACTCACGCAGAGCCACAGACTCACGCAGAGAGCCACAGACTCAAGCATAGACCCACAGACTCACGCATAGACCCACAGACTCACGCAGAGAGCCACAGACTCACACAGAGACCCACAGACTCACGCAGAGAGCCACAGACTCACGCAGAGAGCCACAGACTCATGCAGAGACCCACAGACTCACGCAGAGAGCCACAGACTCACGCATAGACCCAGAGACTCACGCAGAGAGCCACAGACTCACGCAGAGACCCACAGACTCACGCAGAGAGCCACAGACTCATGCAGAGAGCCACAGACTCACGCATAGACCCACAGACTCACGCATAGACCCACAGACTCACGCAGAGAGCCACAGACTCACGCATAGACCCACAGACTCACGCATAGACCCACAGACTCACACAGAGAGCCACAGACTCACGCAGAGACCCACAGACTCACGCAGAGAGCCACAGACTCACGCATAGACCCACAGACTCACGCATAGACCCACAGACTCACGCAGAGAGCCACAGACTCACGCAGAGACCCACAGACTCACGCAGAGAGCCACAGGCTCACGCATAGACCCACAGACTCACACAGAGAGCCACAGATTCACGCATAGACCCACAGACTCACGCAGAGAGCCACAGACTCACGCAGAGACCCACAGACTCACGCATAGACCCACAGACTCACGCAGAGACCCACAGACTCACGCATAGACCCACAGACTCACGCAGAGAGCCACAGACTCACGCAGAGACCCACAGACTCACGCATAGACCCACAGACTCACGCAGAGACCCACAGACTCACGCATAGACCCACAGACTCACGCAGAGAGCCACAGACTCACGCATTGACCCACAGACTCACGCAGAGAGCCACAGACTTATGCTGACCCGCAGACTCACGCATAGACCCACAGACTCACGCAGAGACCCACAGACTCACGCATAGACCCACAGACTCGCACAGAGAGCCACAGACTCACGCATTGACCCACAGACTCACGCAGAGAGCCACAGACTTATGCTGACCCGCAGACTCACGCAGAGACCCACAGACTCACGCAGAGAGCCACAGACTCATGCATAGACCCACAGACTCACACAGAGAGCCACAGAATCACGCAGAGACCCACAGACTCACGCAGAGAGTCACAGACTCGCGCAGAGAGCCACAGACTCACGCATAGACCCACAGACTCACGCAGAGAGCCACAGACTCACACAGAGAGCCACAGACTCACGCAGAGACCCACAGACTCACGCATAGACCCACAGACTCACACAGAGAGCCACAGACTCACGCATAGACCCACAGACTCACGCAGAGAGCCACAGACTTATGCTGACCCGCAGACTCACACAGAGAGCCACAGACTCACGCAGAGAGCCACAGACTCACGCATAGACCCACAGACTCACGCAGAGACCCACAGACTCACGCAGAGACCCACAGACTCACGCAGAGAGCCACAGACTCACGCATAGACCCACAGACTCACGCAGAGAGCCACAGACTCACGCAGAGACCCACAGACTCACACAGAGAGCCACAGACTCACGCATAGACCCACAGACTCACGCAGAGACCCACAGACTCAAGCATAGACCCACAGACTCACGCATAGACCCACAGACTCACGCAGAGAGCCACAGACTCACGCATTGACCCACAGACTCACGCAGAGAGCCACAGACTCACGCATTGACCCACAGACTCACGCAGAGACCCACAGACTCACGCATAGACCCACAGACTCACGCAGAGAGCCACAGACTTATGCTGACCCGCAGACTCACGCAGAGACCCACAGACTCACGCATTGAGCCACAGACTCATGCATAGACCCACAGACTCACACAGAGAGCCACAGAATCACGCAGAGACCCACAGACTCGCGCAGAGAGCCACAGACTCACGCATAGACCCACAGACTCACGCAGAGAGCCACAGACTTATGCTGACCCACAGACTCACGCAGATACCCACAGACTCAAGCAGAGAGCCACAGACTCACGCATAGACCCACAGACTCACGCAGAGGGCCACGGACTCACGCATAGACCCACAGACTCACGCAGAGACCCACAGACTCACACAGAGACCCACAGACTCACGCAGAGAGCCACAGACCCACGCATAGACCCACAGACTCACGCAGAGAGCCACAGACCCACGCATAGACCCACAGACTCACGCATAGACCCACAGACTCACGCATGGACCCACAGACTCACGCAGAGAGTCACAGACTCACGCAGAGACCCCACAGACTCACGCATAGACCCACAGACTCACGCAGAGAGCCACAGACTCACGCAGAGACCCACAGACTCACGCATAGACCCACAGACTCACACAGAGAGCCACAGACTCACGCATAGACCCACAGACTCACGCATAGACCCACAGACTCGCGCAGAGAGCCACAGACTCGCACAGAGAGCCACAGACTCACACAGAGAGCCACAGACTCACGCATAGACCCACAGACTCACGCAGAGAGCCACAGACTTATGCTGACCCACAGACTCACGCAGAGACCCACAGACTCACGCAGAGAGCCACAGACTCACGCATAGACCCACAGACTCACGCAGAGACCCACAGACTCACGCAGAGACCCACAGACTCACGCAGAGAGCCACAGACTCACGCATAGACCCACAGACTCACGCAGAGACCCACAGACTCACACAGAGACCCACAGACTCACGCAGAGACCCACAGACTCACGCAGAGAGCCACAGACTCATGCAGAGAGCCACAGACTCATGCAGACCCACAGACTCACGCAAAGAGCCACAGACTCACGCAGAGACCTATATACTCAGAGACCTGTAGACTCATGCAGAGAAATCCATAGACTCACAGAAGCCCATAGATCTGCCCTAGCAGTCTCCCACCACCTGGCCTGAGGCCTTCTCTTCCCCCTGGTCGCCGGACTCACGGGGACCACTCCCAATACTGGTCTCTGCAATCGGCCCTCCTCCTCCACCCTGCCCAGTCACGGGCTACATCACTCACCTGCCGCGTCTCCAACCTCCCAAGTCGCTTACCCCATCCTCCCCCCACGCCGCCCAGTCACAGCCACATGGCTCCACCACGTGCTTCTCCCATCTTCTCGACGGGACGTCTGCCTGCGTTCCTCGTTTCTTGCCGCACAGTTCCTGGCATCCCTTCTCAAAGACACCTGGGGCTCAAATGTGCTGCACTTGTGACGAATTGGCCACGTTCTGTTCACGTGACAACCCTTACTAGCTGGCTGTGCCGGGCGGCGACGGGTTTTAACGACACATGTATATATTGACGCGATCTAACCCAAAAAACACCCCTGTTGTGAACTTCCTCTGGAGCTGCTGCTCAGAGACAGCTGTTGTTGTCGTTGTTGTTGTTGTCGCTGTCACCGTCCACTCACCAGCTCCATGAAGTCCGAGTCCGTGAACCCTCCGTACTTCCGCAGGATTTTGTAGTCGGTGGCGAGCGTGGAGTCGAAGATCAACGGGTCGTCGGTGTTGATCGAGAAGTTTGCCTTGTCCTTGTGGAACCTGCGTGCGGTGCGCGTTCGTCGCAGGACCATGCTCAATCCACTGCTGCACGAAGGCCTCCACCTCCTGCGCCCCGCGCCTCTTCCCGCCCCCCCCTCCCCCCCCCCCCCACCCCCCGGCGTCTCTCGTTCACGTCGCGGTCCGGCCGTCAGAATCAAACGCTCTGAAGAAGGGTCATTTCCCGGAACGCCGCCTGTTACAGCTAATCTAATTTTATGTTCACGTAGAGCGTCTCCTCCGCTCAAGGCGCTTGGCAGACAAAGCAGTGACAGAATGGAATAGTTGAGATGCAAGGGGCAGTGCAAGGGTTGATGAATGGGCAGCACCGTGGCTTGGAGATGTTAACTACCTCGCCTGGTATGCAGGAGGTCGTGGGTTCGATCCCTGACCCCTGACGCCTGCTGCTGTATATTTGGAGTTTGCGTGTCTCTCTCTCTCTCTCCGTGCAAGCGTCGAATTTTTCTCCGGGTGCTCCGGTTTTTCCACCAGCACATTTAGAATCAACGTCACGTCACGCCTTTTAGAGTAATTTGACCGTTGCAAATGTTCACGCGATGATGATGATGAACCACTTCGTTGGGCTATCATTTGTGTGCGTCCAAGATCGCATTCTCAACAAAATTGCTGGACATCTCAGTGGGCCTTACCTGTTCCAATGAAAAATAGGTTATGTATAAAAACAAAAACAATAGTTTGAGTTTAAATGAATGACAGCGATAGATTTGCTCGTAGGGGTCACGGAAGGGTAGGGGAGCGATGGGACGGAGTGGAGGGGCGATGGGGAGGAGGCGAGGCTTTAAGAGAGGAACGGAATGAGGTTTGGGGGGGGGGGGGTGACTCCCCAATGTCCGGGGAGTCACCCCCCCCCTCCACATTTAGAATCAACATCCAAGCCCCTTCAGAGTCATTTGGCCTCAGCAATGATGATGATGATGATGATTCCTGTGTGACGGGCCAAGGTTGCATTCTCCGAAGAAAATGTCTATGCAGCTAAGTGGGCCTTACCTGGTAAGATAACAATAACAAGTCTAATATAATGATGGCGGCGGTGGTGATCGCGACAACGACGACGATGCGAGGACCCACCTCACGACGGGGTGTTTCGAGAAGTCTGCCTCCTTCTCGCCGGAGAGGCAGGCTCCCGTCAGGTAGCTGGACCAGGGGCAGATCTGCAAAGCGTGCGGGGGGGGGGGGGTGGGAGGGGAGCAACACAGCGGGTTGTTCGCTCTCCCCGCTTCCGCCACAAGGAGTCCCCGACCACTCGGGGGAGACTCTAGACCATGATAAGGCTCATCATAAGTCTTATCGCGTGAAGAAATGTCAGCTAAGATTTATTTGCGAGCCAGGTGCAGTCATCAAAAGAGCCACATCTGGCTCGCGAGCCACAGGTTGCCGACCCCTGCTCTAAGAGTCTCGAGCAGGGGTGGGGAACGTACGGCCCGCGGGCCGTATAAGGCCCGCGGGCCGTATAAGGCACTGCAAAATCATTTGGTGTGGCCCCGCCAAGGCAAACGCAGGCGGGACTACGAAATTCAATAAATCTAGGAGTAGGAAAAGCAGTTGCGAGTAGCAGCAACGTCATCAATACCGGCTAACATCACATCACCAAAGAGAATTAGTTCCTTCCCATCACATTGGGGACGAGTTAATGAAATGTTTGACACAAATATAAACGGGCTAATTTTTTTTAGTTGATCATTTTGTATGGCCCGCGAATGATGTTACATAAATATCCAAATCGGCCCTTGGCAGAAAAAAAAAAAAGGCTCCCCACCCCTGATCTAGAGGGTCCCAGGTGTTGCTGCCGCCGCTGCTGCTGAGAGAGCGGTGAGTGTAGCGTTAAAAGCGGCCGTTGTCGTCGGCTTGTTCTACCTCTATGCTCCCGCACCGAGGCACACCCCACCCCCCCCCCACCCTCACCAATCCCGCACTGATAGCCGGCGTGGTGAAGTATGGTCAAATAACCCCCCCCCCTCCCCCCCCCCCCTGCACGACAGCGTGAGGGGAGGCCCTCACCCAGTGGTTAGCGATCGCTGAGGCTATGAACCCGGCAACCCGGGTTCGATTCCCGCTCGTGGCCAACACCGATAACGATTACCTGAATAGGAACCTGGGCCTCCCCTAGGTCGACTCGGTCTCAAATGAGTACCTGGCGTGATTTACAAAAGCATTTGTCACGAAGGAGACAAAGGCGGCCGGGCGTGGTGCTGGCCACCCACCCCCTCGTGTGCAGTGCAGTGCCACCCTTCGTAGGTGCTGCTCGCTAACGGGCTCTTGCCCTAACGGTCTGTTAAGGCTACACGGGGGATCTTTGTCTTTGTGTGTTCGTGCGAAGCGCCAGCTACGAACCCAGCAGCCCGGGTTCGACTCCCGCTCACGGCCACCAACACCAGCGGCTATTATCCGAGCCGGACCGTGGGCCTCCCCCTAGGTAGACTCGGCCTCAAACGAGTACCTGGCGCGGTGTGTGGCAAACATCGCCACTGGGGGAGACAAAGGCGGCCGGGCGCGGATCTGGCCGCACCGCGCCGCCCTCGCCCCGTCGCCTTGACAGTGACTACGCGGGGGAGCTTTCGCTCTGTCTTTGATGGCCCCGCGCTACCTCGAAGTGCATGTTGGCCTTGAGCAGGCGCGCGTAGAGCTCCGGGTCCTCCAGGGTGTGGTAGCCGTGGCCGATCCTCTCCGCCCGCAACACGTCCACCGCCTGCCACCAAAGACAAAGATTACCCCCCCCCCACCCACCCACCGTGTAGCCTTGACAGACCGTCGGGGCAAGCGCTGTCAGCGAGGAGCGGGTGCCTGTGAAGGCCCGGCACGGCGGTACACGAGGTGAGCGGGCAGCGCCACGCCCGGCCGCCTTTGTCTCCGCCGGTGGCGATGTTTTATGCATCGCACCGAGCGCTCATTTGAGGTTGAGTCGACCCCGGACGGGTTTACATCATCGTCAACGGTGTTGGCCGTGAGCGGGAATCGAACTCGGGTCGCCGGGTTCGTAGCGCTGACCGCTACGCTGGACGCGCGCACGCACGCCCGGTAATGATGAATGATGTCATCAGCGAATCAGTGTCCCCGTTAATCATGGGGCAATCACAGGGCTGGACGCTCATTGTCATCATCACCACCCGCGTCATTACCCACTACGCACTCTCATACCTCTCCCCTCTCATCTCACTCCCCACCGCACACTCTCCTACCTCTCATCTCACTCTACTCCCCTCCACGCACTCCCCTACTCTCCCCTCTCATCTCACTCTACTCCCCTCCACGCTCTCTCCTACCTCTCCCCTCTCATCTCACTCCACTCCCCTCTCATCTCACTCCACTCCCCTCTCATCTCACTCTACTCCCCTCCACGCTCTCTCCTGCCTCTCCCCTCTCATCTCACTCCCCACCACACACTCTCCTACCTCTCATCTCACGCTACTCCCCTCCACGCTCTCTCCTACCTCTCTCATCTCACTCTACTCCCTTCCACGCTCTCTCCTGCCTCTCCCCTCTCATAGAGCCACAGACTCACACAAATATCCACATGATCACACAAAGACCCATAGACTCGCACCCATAGGCTCACACAGAGACGCCCATAGGCTCATCACACACAGACCAATCACATAGAAGTCCATAGGCTCACAGAAATCCACAGTTTCCCAACAGAGACCTATTCATGACTGCCTCTCGCTCAAATAAACACACCCGCGGTGTCTGCACCGCGTCGAGTTGCTACGCAAATAGCAATTCGTATTTTTTAAATCGATTTATAACAGCATAAAAATCACGATCACCATCGGGCACCTTTGCTACGTTCTCCACAACGACGTTTTGTGCATCAGACTCCGGGGGGGTGGGGTGGAGTGGGGGCCATGCGTCACGCAGACACAGGCCCCTGTCTATTAACATCTGGCAGACCGCCAGCTTTGGTTCAAGCAAGGCCCTGACTCTACTGCTGCTGCTGTTGTTGTTGATGCTGGTGAAGATTATGAGACACTGCATGTCCAAACCGGTCCGGAGTGTGTGTCCCCAGCGTTGAACCGATGCTGCCGAGTCACGGGAGACTCCCACAAGGAAGGGCCGTGGGGCTGATGGGATGCGTAGAGGAAAGCATTTATTTCTTTACCAGGACAGATGTGAGGAGGAGGAGGAGGAAGAGGAGGAGGTGTCTATCGGCATGTATCAGACCATCAGGAGGAGGTGTTTTCTTGGTTCTCTCGGTAAAGTCACGTAGATAGAAAATGTAAATAATTAAATAATTAGCCGAAAAAAATATGAAAGAAAAAACCCCACAACGTTGCGTTGCGATCGAAACGTCGTGGGTTTTTTGCCTTCATTATTTTCAATAAATTTTCATTTTGAAATTTTTATTTCGCAATTTATTTATTTTCAATCTACGTGACTTTACCGAAGGAACCGAGAGTATGAATTCCTGCAGTCACGAAAGTTTCAAGTGAGGAGGAAGGTGTGTTCCTTCTCCACCCCCCCCCTCCTCCTTCTCACCCCCCCCCCCTCACCTCCTCGACGACCTTTGATGAACCCACCTCCCCGGCGTGGACCGTGCGGTGAACGCCGTCCCTCACCGCCTCCTGGTGACACCGGCAACAAGGAGCGACAAAGTACAGGTCCACCCCGCCATACCGCCGTGTAGCCTGCGACGGCTGTAGAGGCAAGTGCAGTGAGCTGCACCCACCGCTCCCGGAAAATTACACATCGGTGGGGTTGTGTCGGGGTGTGTGTGTCGGGGTGTGTGTGTCGGGGTGTGTGTGTCGGGGTGTGTGTCGGGGTGTGTCGGGGTGTGTGTGTCGGGGTGTGTGTGTCGGGGTGTGTCGGGGTGTGTCGGAGTGTGTCGGAGTGTGTGTGTCGGGGTGTGTGTGTCGGGGTGTGTCGGGGTGTGTGTGTCGGGGTGTGTCGGGGTGTGTCGGGGTGTGTGTGTCGGGGTGTGTATGTCGGGGTGTGTCGGGGTGTGTCGGGGTGTGTGTGTCGGGGTGTGTCGGGGTGTGTGTGTTGGGGTGTGTGTGTTGGGGTGTGTCGGGGTGTGTCGGGGCGTGTGTGTCGGGGTGTGTGTGTTGGGGTGTGTCGGGGTGTGTCGGGGCGTGTGTGTCGGGGTGTGTGTGTTGGGGTGTGTCGGGGGTGTCCTCCGAGTGTAGTGGGTTGGTGTGGTGCACCCAGCTACATTCGCTCAGTGTGAGGTGTGGGTGACTTGGGTGGTGTAGGTGGCGTGGGTGGTGTGGGTGGTGTGGGTGGTGTCTGTGGTGTGGGTGCTGTGGGTGGTGTGGGTGGTGTCTGTGGTGTGGGTGCTGTGGGTGGTGTGCGTCGCTTGGGTGGCGTGGGTGGCGTGGGTGACTTGGGTGGTGTGGGTGGTGTGGGTGCTGTGGGTGGTGTGGGTGGCGTGGGAGGCTTGGGTGGTGTGGGTGGCTTGGGCGGTGTGGGTGCTGTGGGTGGTGTGGGTGGTGTGGGTGGTGTGGGTGGTGTGGGTGGTGTGAGTGCTGTGGGTGGTGTGGGTGCTGTGGGTGCTGTGGGTGGTGTGGGTGGTGTGGGTTTGTGTGGGCGGTGTGGGTGGCGTGGGTGGTGTAGGTGGCGTGGGTGGTGTGGGTGGCTTGGGCGGTGTGAGTGGTGTGAGTGGTGTGGGTGGTGTGGGTGGTGTGGGTGGCTTGGGTGGTGTGGGCGGTGTGGGTGCTGTGGGTGGCGTGGGTGGTGTGGGTGGCTTGGGCGATGTGGGCGGTGTGGATGGTGTGGGTGGTGTAGTGTGATATCGGTGTGGGTGGTGTGGGTGGTGTGGGCGGTGTGGGTGGTGTGAGTGGTGTGGGCGGTGTGGGTGGTGTGGGTGGTGTAGTGTGATATCGGTGTGGGTGGTGTGGGTGGTGTGGGTGGTGTGGGTGCTGTGGGTGGTGTGTGTGGTGTGGGTGCTGGGGGTGGTGTGGGTGGTGTGGGTGGTGTGGGTGGTGTGAGTGGTGTGGGTGGTGTGGGTGGTGTGGGTGGTGTGGGTGGTGTGAGTGGTGTGGGTGGTGTGGGTGGTGTGGGTGGTGTGAGTGGTGTGGGTGGTGTGGGTGGTGTGGGTGGTGTGGGTGGTGTGGGTGGTGTGAGTGGTGTGGGTGCTGTGGGTGGTGTGAGTGGTGTGGGTGATGTGGGTGGTGTGGGTGGTGTGGGTGGTGTGAGTGGTGTGGGCGGTGTGGGTGGTGTGAGTGGTGTGGGCGGTGTGGGTGGTGTGGGTGCTGTAGTGTGATATCGGTGTGGGCGGTGTGGGTGGTGTGGGTGCTGTAGTGTGATATCGGTGTGGGTGGTGAGGTTGAATGCCGAGTGCGGCGTGGCGCTCACCAGGAAGGCGGTGCGGTGGGGGCCCCCGGCCTCGGCCACCAGGGACTCGTCCCCCGCCAGGTCGATCGCCACCACCCCGGCGTCCCTGTACTTGAGGCACAGCCTCAGCACCTCCGGCGACCAGTCTAGCCACACACACACACACAGATAAAGGTCGCCCGTGTAGCCTCGGCAGGCTGTTGGGGCAAGTGCCCACTAGCAAGCGCCAGTGCCGGATTATCCTAGCAGCACAAGTAGCTACTACACGTGTAGTAGCTACTACACATATGTAGCTACATATGTGTAGTAGCAGCTACTAGTGTAGTACTACTAGTGTAGTAGCTGCTACTACACGTGTAGTAGCTGTTACTACACGTGTAGTAGTAGCTACTACACGAGTAGTAGTAGCTACTACTACACGTGTAGTAGCTACTACTACACGTGTAGTAGTAGCTACATATGTGTAGTAGCTACGTGCCCCGCACTTTCAAGGGCCCCGCGCTAAACGCTTTCAAGCTATCAATTCCGGTTCAGTGATTCTGCACTTGCTCTATCACTACAGTACTATACCGCCTTCAACTTGTATGAACGACCGGGTGTTTAAGGTTAGCGATTTGTCGTATTATCTGGCTGCGTAGCAAATGAAAAAATACAATTTACTATGCAAATAAAAAAATTGTGTTTTAATATTTACGTGTTTTTTTTAATTTAGGGCCCCTTTATAACGTCATGCTACAGACCCCGCACTTGGCTCGGCCTGGCACTGGCAAGCACCTGCGTAGGGCCCGGCACGGCACACGATGGTAGGGGGGGGGGGTGGGCACCACGCCCGGCCGCCTTTGTCTCCCCAGTGCTGACGCTGATTTACCCACTGCATCAGGTACTCGCTTAAGGCTGAGTCGACCTAGGGGAGGGCCCGGGCTGGTTCAGATATTCCGTCACCGATGTTGGCCGTGAGTGGGAATCGGAGCTCAATCGTTTTGTAGCACAGTGGGCCGACTGCCACGCCACCGCTCCCCGCATACAAAGACAAAGATCCCCCGTGTAGCCTCAGCATACTTTTTGGGGCAAGTGCTGTGAGCTCCTTTACAACAACAACAACCTGCCATTTGTCACGAAGTGGCGGTGACGTCACCACGGCGCTTGTGCCAGGCTACGTGCACTTTAAAGTGCTCCTATACACATAGACACACACACATATCCCCCATTCGAGTACCTGGTGCGGTGTGTATAAACAGCAGCGAGGAGACAAAGGCGGCTGGGCGTGGTGCTGACCACCCACCCCCTCGTGTGCCGTGCCGGCCTTCATAGGTGCTCGCTAACAGCACTTGCCCCAATAGTATTTTAAAGGCTTTCTGGGGGATCTTTGTCTTTTTACCAGGCGTGTGTACTGCGCTTGTACTGTGCGTACTGCATGTGTCTGCTGCAAGTGTACTGCGTGTGTACTCTGCGTGTGTCCCATGTGTTCCGTGCATATGTGTATTGTGTGTACTGTGTGTGTACTGTGTGTACTGTGTGTGTACCGTGTGTACTGTGTATGTACCGTGTGTATGTACCGTGTGTACTGTGCGTGTGTATAGTGTGTACTGAGTGTATGTACCGTGTGGACTGTGTGCATGTACCGTGTGTACTGTGTGTGTATAGTGTGTATTGTGTGTATGTACTGTGTGTACTGTGTGTATGTACTGTGTGTACTGTGTGTATGTACTGTGTGTACTGTGTGTATGTACCGTGTGTACTGTGTGTGTATAGTGTGTACTGTGTGTATGTACTGTGTGTACTGTGTGTATGTACCGTGTGTACTGTGTGTATGTACTGTGTGTGTATAGTGTGTACTGTGTGCATAGTGTGTACTGTGTGTATGTGCCGTGTGTACTGTGTGTATGTACTGTGTGTATGTACCGTGTGTACTGTGTGTATGTACCGTGTGTACTGTGTGTATGTACCGTGTGTACTGTGTGTGTATAGTGTGTACTGTGTGTATGTACCGTGTGTACTGTGTGTATGTACCGTGCGTACTGTGTGTATGCACCGTGTGTACTGTGTGTATGTACCGTGTGTACTGTGTGTATGTACCGTGCGTACTATGTGTGTATAGTGTGTACTGTGTGTATGTACCGTGTGTACTGTGTGTATGTACCGTGCGTACTGTGTGTGTACTGTGTGTACTGTGTGTATGTACCGTGCGTACTGTGTGTATGTACCGTGTGTACTGTGTGTACTGTGTGTATGTACCGTGTGTACTGTGTGTATGTACCGTGTGTACTGTGTGTATGTACCGTGTGTACTGTGTGTATGTACTATGTGTACTGTGTGTATGTACTGTGTGTACTGTGTGTATGTACCGTGTGTACTGTGTGTGTACTGTGTGTACTGTGTGTATAGTGTGTACTGTGTGTGTATGTACTGTGTGTACTGTGTGTATGTACCGTGTGTACTGTGTGTATGTACTGTGTGTATAGTGTGTACTGTGTGTATGTACCGTGTGTGCTGTGTGTGTTTCGTGTGTACTGTGTGTATGTACTGTGTATGTACTGTGTGTACTGTGTGTATGTACTGTGTATGTACTGTGTGTACTGTGTGTATTGTATGTACTGTGTGTACTGTATGTACTGTGTGTATGTACTGTGTGTATGTACCGTGTGTACTGTGTGTATGTACTGTGTGTACTGTGTGTGTACTGTGTGTACTGTGTGTGTACTGTATGTGCTGTGTGTATGTACTGTGTGTACTATATGTACTGTGTGTATGTACTGTGTGTACCGTGTGTACTGTGTGTATGTACTGTATGTACTGTGTGTATGTACTGTGTGTACTGTGTGTACTGTATGTACTGTGTGTATGTACTGTGTGTACTGTGTGTACTGTGTGTATGTACTGTGTGTACTGTGTGTATGTACTGTGTGTACTGTGTGTATGTACTGTGTGTACTGTGTGTGCACTGTATGTACTGTATGTACTGTGTGTATGTACTGTGTGTATGTACTGTGTGTACTGTATGTACTGTGTGTATGTACTGTGTGTACTGTGTGTGTACTGTATGTACTGTGTGTATATACTGTATGTACTGTATGTACTGTGTGTATGTACTGTGTGTACTGTGTGTACTGTGTGTATGTACTGTGTGTACTGTGTGTACTGTGTGTACTGTGTGTATGTACTGTGTGTACTGTGTGTATGTACTGTGTGTACTGTGTGTGCACTGTATGTACTGTATGTACTGTGTGTATGTACTGTGTGTATGTACTGTGTGTACTGTATGTACTGTGTGTATGTACTGTGTGTACTGTGTGTGTACTGTATGTACTGTGTGCATATACTGTATGTACTGTATGTACTGTGTGCATGTACTGTGTGTACTGTGTGTACTGTGTGTATGTACCGTGTGTACTGTGTATGTACTGTGTGTGTACTGTATGTACTGTGTGTACTGTGTGTGTACTGTATGCACTGTATGTACTGTGTGCATGTACGGCGCGTACCGGGCATGTGCCGCATGCAGCACAGGATGGAGCGCACTGTGATGCCGAACTCCTTCTCGCCCTCGCGGAAGCCCTGGTTCACCAGCGACACCACCTCGTCCGGCGTGAGGTCCCCGCTGGGCGACAAGGCACAGCCATCGTCATTGTCGTCATCGTCGTCATCACTGTCACCACCATCGTCATCGCTATCGTCGTCACCGTCACTACTGTCATCATCGTTATCACCAACACCATCGTCATCACTAACACCATCGTCATTGTCGTCATCATCGTCATTACCAGCACCATCGTCATCACTATCGTCATCACCGTCACTACTGTCATCATCGTTATCACCACCATCGTCATCGCTATCGTCATCATCGTCATCACCATCGTCATCACCATCGTCATCACCGTCACCGTCGCTACTGTTATCATCGTCATCACCACCATCGTCATCGCTATCGTCATCATCGTCATCACCATCGTCATCACCATCGTCATCACCGTCACTACTGTCATCATCGTTATCACCAACACCATCGTCATCACTAACACCATCGTCATTGTCGTCGTCATCGCCACCATCGTCATCGCTGTCACCATCGTCACCACCACCACCACCACCACCGTCATCACTAACACCATCGCTGACACCGTCGCCACCATCGTCATCGCAGCCAGCCAGCATCATCAGTTCGGACAGCGGCAGACCACTTGTGGGAGGTCACCATCCTCCCCGTTTCGGGTCCTCCTCGAGGCGACGCATCACGCGACCTAGCCCAAAGCACCTCCGCCGTGGCTCACGTCCCGGTCAGCGCAAGCCGCCCACCGGGCGTTGCACACGAACGCCGACCTCCCTGGGGAAGCGACGAAGCCCTCGAGGCAAAGCCTACCCCCGCTGCCCCCAGGGCACGGGCGTCACTTCGGCGTTGGCGAGCAGCTGGGGGCTGTAGCGAGCCTCCAGGTAGACGACGCCCTGCTGAACCTTGTCCGCCACCAGCTCGTACGCCACGCGGCGGATCGCGTTCCGGTCCCCACTGCCAAAGGTGGGAAAGGGGGGGGAAGGCAGGGGGGTGGGGGGCAGGAGAGAGAGACGGTGGTGGTGGTGGTGGGGAGACACGGAGAGGAGACGCGGTAGGGATGGGGGAGGAGAGGGGGTAGAGATGGGGGTGGAGGGGGGGTAGGGGTAGAGGGATACAGGTGGAGGGGTGTGGAAAATGGGGAGAGACACGTGGGTGGGTGGGTGGTGGGGGGGAAAGAGGTTGGAGGAGAAACACGGAGAGAGACGCGTGGGGGGGGGGGGGATGGAAGAGTTGGTGAGCGGTGTAGGGGGGGGTGCGTCTTATAATCCGGTGTCTGAGTGTGTGTGTTTGACCACGAACAATAACTTCTGCCCCCCCCCCTCTCATTTTAGCCCCCTGCCCCCTCTTCCATCCACTGGCGCTGCGTGCATGTGCATGTGTGTGCGCGCGTGCGTGTGCGTGCGTGTGTGCGTGTGTGCTGGCCTGCCTACGATCCATCCTGGGTTTAACCAGACTGGATTGTGTGAGGAGCTCACAAATCCTTGAAAGATCTGGGCAAGGTCCCATTGGTGAGCTCCTCCGGCGGGCAAGGCTGCGTTGGCTGGGTCATGTAGCCCGCATGCCCAGCCACCGCATGCCGAAACAGCTTTTGTTCGGCCGGATCGAGGGGGCTAAACGGGCGCGGCACGGGCTAGAGAAGAGATGGAGTGATGTGGTACAGGAGGACGTGGAGCTGAGTGGACTTGCCGATGACTGGTACCAGCGGTGTCAAGATCGGCCTCTGTGGAGGAGGCTCGTGAAGGACGCTACTGGGCAGTTGGAGGTAGTCGCCCTCCAACAACAACGGAGGGCGGAGGAGCGACGCTCACAACAACGAGTGGAGCGCCGGGTGGCTAAAGCACAGCAGGTTGGCACAGTAGGTGGCACAGGTGGTGCATCAGCCAGGCATCTTAGTCAATCGACCCGTGGCACCCGGGTCTGCCCCGTGACCTCCTGCCAGCGGGCGTTCGACACTTCGCGTGGCCTCAGGGTGCACATGGCCTGGCACAAGCGTCGTGGTGACGTCACCGCCACTTAGTGGTGAATGGCGCTTGTTGTTGTTGTGTGCCGTGTGTCGTGTGTGTGTGCGCGTGTGCGCGTGCGAGACTGCTCACGCGATGGCCGGCATGTAGAGGGAGAAGTACTCGAGGAACTTGGTGAGCGATGAGGGCTCCCCGTAGCTCAGGCAGCCGTGGAGCTCCCTCTCCGTGTCCGCCGGCAGCCTCACGCCGCGCTTCCTGCGCACACCGCCACGGGGAGAGGCAGTCCAACGCGTCCCGCGCCAACCCTCCGCCTCATCCTCGCAGCGGCGACGGCGGCGGCAGCGGCCGTCGGCGCTGCCGCCGCCGTCGAACGAGGGCGGCGGTCGCCGCATCGTGAGCGGCGCTTCCGCGGCCGTCTGGAACGCTCTCTTCCTTGCGGTGTGATGAAGAAGCCACTGCGAGCTGTGCAAACTCGTTTCTTTACAAGTGCCTCTTGTGTTTTAGTTTGCTGGCATTTCCCCCGCACGCCTCCCGATTAGCACGGTCGGCTACGTACGGCGCGAAAGAAGTTCGACATGCATACAGCGGCACGCTTTGGTCCGCACGTAAGCCTGACTCGGCTGCTGACGAGACACTGAATGTTGAAACCGGTCCAGAGTTTTGCTTGTGTGTGGACCACTGGTCCAGTGGAGAGAGGCCGATTTGTGAATTGTCCAGTGGAGAGAGGCGGATTTATGAATGAGACTGTCTGCTTGTTCATATCATCGCCCCTTGATTCGCTGTGACCAAAGACAAAGATCCCCCGTATAGCCTTCATAGACTGTTGGGGCAAGTGCTGTTGGCAAGTAGCACCTATGAAGGCCGGCACTGCACACGAGGGGGTGGCTGAGTCGACCTAGGGGTACCCCAAGAGCAGTTCTAATATGTTCGCTGTCACTCTTATTGGTCATGAGCGGGAACAGAACTCGGGACGCCGGGTTCGTAGTGCAGCGCGCTAACCGCTGAGACACAACTCCGCGGCAGCATTGCGTATGGGGCATGTATATACATTTACGAGTTTTTAAATGCGTGACTAATTTTTGTAAGGTTTAAGTGGTACCCATTCGATTGCCTCGTGGTGACGGTGATGATGAAAATGATGACGGTGATGATGATGATGTTGATTAAAATGATGATGATGATGGTGAAGATGATGATGGTGATAACTATGATGGCTGTGATCATGATTTTGATGTTGATGACAACGATGGTGGTGGTGATGATGATTACAATAAATGATGATTACAATGGATGGTAAAGATTATGATGATGACGATGATGATAACTATGATGGCGATGATTATGATGATGATTTTGATGTTGATGATGGCGATGAAGGTGAGGATGATGATAATGATTTTTACTCACTTGGCGAATTCCAGGATGGTTGAGGGTCGAATAGCTCCATCCAAATGGATGTGAAGTTCAACCTGGGATGGGGGTGATGAGGTGGCGGAGAGACAGAAGAGGATATTTAAAAAAAAACATATTCAGCCAAACGATTGCTCAACCACCCCTGGGACCCAATCATCACTCCACGTGTCCACGCAGGGAAGACAAAGACAGAGATCCCCCATATAGCCTTAACAGACTGTAGGGGCAAGTGCTGTTAGCGAGCACCTACGAAGGCCAGAACGGCACACGAGGGGTGGGTGGCCAGCACCACGCCCGACCGCCTTTGTCTCCCCCAGTGGCGATGTTTACACACCGCACCAGGTACTCATTCAAGGCTGAGTCGACCTAGGGAAGGCCCAAGACCGGTTCAGGTAATCGTAACCGGTGTTGGCCACGAGCGGCTATTCTGCTTGCTAACAGCACTTGCCCTTTCCGCCTGTTCAAGGCTATACGGGGGATCTGTGTCTCCGTGCGTGTGTTGATAGGTGGGGAGCGGTAGAGTAGTAGGTCACCGCGCTGCACTACGAACCCGGCAACCCGAGTTCGATTTCCGTTCACGGCCAACACCGGTCGACTCAACCTCAATGAGTACCTGGTGCGGTGTGTAAACATCGCCACTGGGGAGACAAAGGCGGCCGGGCGTGGTGTTGGCCACCCACCCCCTCGTGTGCCGTGTCGGCCTTCATAGCTGCTCGCTAACAGCACTTGCCCCAACAGCCTGTTCAAGGCTATACGGGGGATCTTTGTCTCCGCGTGTGCGTGTGTAGATAAGGTTGTGAGTATTCTTGTTACCCGGCTTGTCTCTCTCAGTGACCCTTGGTCTGGGGTACTAAGGGTCAGTCAGGGTGTGGGTACACCCTTATCCCTCCCCTTGCCACCACCCTCACCACCACCCTCTCACCCCTAACAACACACTCTTGACACATTCCACGTTACACACAAAGTCAACATTATTGGCTAATTATGTCCCCCCCCCCCCCCCCACTTAATATTTATCAGCAAATCGACCGGGTCGCTAAACCACACAACGTAGCGCGGACGTCACGGGCCTAGCTGTCAATCCATCACGGTTCACCCCGTATTCTTGTACAGGGAAATTGAGTGTTTCAGGTCCATACGGCATTCGAACCGTTTCAATACGGGCAATAAAAAAAAATCGTGTTTGTGTCTATGTTTGTGTTTCTCCCTTGCCATGGGACTTTGTAGGATGAACGTTGAGATTTATAAGGTGTACGAAGTGACCAATGAGGTCTGAATTGGTCTGTAATAAGGTAGGGGGGGCACTGCCAAGGGGTTGACAGGTTTGTAGTGGTGAGTGTACTAGTGGTGAGTGTAGTGGTGGTGATTGTCTATGTTTGTGTTTCTCCCTTGCCATGGGACTTTGTAGGATGAACGTTGAGATTTATAAGGTGTACGAAGTGACCAATGAGGTGTGAATTGGTCTGTAATAAGGTAGGGCACTGCCAAGGGATTGACAGGTTTGTAGTGGTGAGTGTACTAGTGGTGAGTGTAGTGGTGGTGATTGTCTATTTGTGTGTTCTCCCTTGCGATGGGACTTTGTAGGATGAACGTTGAGATTTATAAGGTGCACGGGGTGACCAATGAGGTCTGAATTGGTGTGTAATAAGGTAGGGGGGCACTGCCGAGGGGTTGACAGCAGCGCTCGTGTGCCTGGGGGACGATGGTTGAAGGCGGCCCCGGGAGGAAACACAATGAACGCTGTGCGCGGAGGGAGCAGCGAGGGGTTGGTGGATTGCACACGGATGGTTTGGAACTTCCTTCTACCCGTGGGTGGGCGTCGAGGAGGTGGCCGCACCACCGTGGCTCTGCCAGGAGAAGGCGGTGCTACAGCGAAGTGTTTGGCACTAAATCGCCATCTCTTCTAATCAATCTGTACGGGGGGGGGGAGATCGAGCGTTGCTCCCTCGCTTGAGGCATGCACCTTTCTCCAGCCGCCCCGGTTGTTGCTCCTCCCCCCTCCCCCACGTGAATAATAAACACGACTCCGCATCGACATCGTCATCAGTAATTGGCTTTAAACATCTTTAAAATAAAATACGAATAAAGTCGTACAATTGTACTGAAATAGCGCCGGCTGCTGGCGGAAAAGAGTAACTCCGGTGTACGGCGGCACTCGCGTCAGCAGGCCACGATAGACACGAGGGGGGGGGGACATCTCGGGGGGAAAGGTCACAGAAGGGGGCCCATCGGGAAGCCCCGGGAACCCGCGAGTAGGTTCCAGAAAGGGGGCGGAGCGAAGCCGCGCTGGGAGTATCAGAGGGGCCCCTGAGCGGGACCTCGTGGCTGCTGCTGGAAGCGGGATGCCCGTCATGCCCACTCAAGTCCATCGTCGTCACCATCCCGGGGCGCCGCTGGTCAGACAGCCTAGCAACTGTTCTAAGTAGTGCCGCCGACGATAGACGGTCTTAATAATAATTATAATAGTGTGCACCCACGTAGGGTGTTTGTGTGTGTTACCCCGATGGTGCTTGTGAAATAAAAGAAGGGCCTCCAGTTATTACTGTCTCCGAGTTAAGTCACTACACAATTCGAATGTAAAAACCCCAATGCAGCACTGAGTCGTAGAGTCCTAATGCCTCGGCGTGACGTATATTTGAAGTTTGTGGTCTCTCACCCGTCCCCCTCTCTCCCCGTGATCGCGTGGATTTTTCTCCAGGTCCCCCAGTTTTTCCCTCCACATTTAGAATCAACATCATGCCTGTTGTATGTCCAGTTGCCTATTCGGACTGAGAGTCGTAAGTTCAACTGCCGTGCAATAGATGGCAGTGGTGGCATCTACATCTGCAGGGCGTGAAGAACCAGTGGCATCTACATCTACAGAACGTGAAGAACCAGTGGCATCTACATCTGCAGAGCGTGAAGAACCAGTGGCATCTACATCTGCAAAACGTGATGAACCAGTGGCATCTACATCTGCAGAGCGTGAAGAACCAGTGGCATCTACATCTGCAGAACGTGAAGAACCAGTGGCATCTACATCTGCAGAACGTGAAGAACCAGTGGCATCTACATCTACAGAAGGTGAAGAACCAGTGGCATCTACATCTACAGAACGTGAAGAACCAGTGGCATCTACATCTGCAGAACGTGAAGAACCAGTGGCATCTACATCTGCAGAACGTGAAGAACCAGTGTCATCTACATCTGCAGAGCGTGAAGAACCAGTGGCATCTACATCTGCAGAACGTGAAGAACCAGTGGCATCTACATCTGCAGAACCTGAAGAACCAGTGGCATCTACATCTGCAGAACGTGAAGAACCAGTGGCATCTGCAGAACGTGAAGAACTAGTGGCATCTAAATCTACAGAACGTGAAGAATCAGTGGCATCTACATCTGCAGAACGTGAAGAACCAGTGGCATCTACATCTACAGAACGTGAAGAACCAGTGGCATCTACAGGATATTATGCAACTTTTAAAGCCATTACCCCGTGTTTAGTGTACACGCCGTACAGCACGTGTGGAATCTACAGGAGTAAAGTTGGGATTTACGAACAAACCGACTTACGAACAAGACCTCTGGAACCTGACTCGTTCGTAAGTAGAGGAGTCCTTGTATTTGGCTGCGATAAACGTCCACATGATGACGATAAACCTCTCAGTGGTGCCTTACCTTGTAAAATTACAACATTTAAAAAAATTGTTTCGTTTGAAAAAAGAAAAAAACAACGACGGTGGATTTCGCTTTAAAACTTTCGTGACTTGCAAGGATTCATCTTCTTTGGTTCTTTCGGTAAAGTCACGTAGAACGAGAATAAGCGTCGTGAGAATTTTATTGCGCTATTTTATTTTATCAATTTATCATTTTATTCTCATTCTACGTGACTTTACCGAAAGAACCAAAGAAAACGACGGTGGAATCAAGAAAGGGAAGCGTCCGAGGGTGGCCTGCGTGGACTTTGAGAATGACGATGAGCGGGAACGCCGCCAGTCTTTCTGCAAACGTCACTTTTACAAGCGGCGGCGTGCGATCGTCGGAAAACCGCACCTCCGATGAGCACGGTCGGCTACGTGCGGCGCGAAAGAAGTTCAACGTACACACACTACGCTACGCTGTACACGCTACGCTACATACTACAGTATACACTACGCTACACACGATGCTACGCACTACACTGCACACCACATAATACACTACACACCATGCTGCACACCACAACACACACTGAACTATACACTACGCGCTACGCGACTATACGCCGCACCACCATGCTAAATTTCAAACTGAATTCTCGAGAAATTATTTTGGTTGTGTTTAGTGTTTGTTGTCCTTCCCCCCGCACATCCGATGAGCACGGTCGGCTACGTACGGCGCGAAAGAAGTTCAACACACACACACGCACGCACTCACTCTCGTGCCTACAAAGCGAACACAGCTGTGAAAAGCGAAGCGGCGAAGCAGAGGAGAGTGAGAGAGTGAGTGAGAGACTCCCGCTGGGAATTGGTTCTGGCACCCCGAGAGAACAGACCGGTGGTGCCACGTGGACCGGAGTCCCCACCACACACTCGTGCCGTTTCGCTGATGAGGCTGAATCAAGGGCTGAGAGGGCTTGGGGCTTTGGGGATGGGGGGGGGGTCGTGAGTGGGGTGATGGGCGTGGGAGGTCGCTGGGTTGCGCCCTGACCCCGGCTTGAACTCGGCCGCCCTTGACCTCTGACCCGCTGTAAGGCGCCGCGCGGAGGCGATCTCGCTCCGCCGGCAGCAAGTGGCAGGGACGTGACCGGTCGACGGTCAAAAGCAAAACCCCCAACAACCGTGCAAGAGATGGGTTACGCGCCATGAAGGAGGGCCCATTGCCCCAAAAACGTCACCGATTGTAGAATGTAATTCTTGCTGCTAACGCCGCACGCACGCTCACTCTTAGTGTGGTTGTTGCCGTTGTTATTGACGATCTCAGCCACCGACTTACTGCTCCAGCACAGCGGAACGTCGGAGCTGTAATCTCGCCCTTTTACGAGGCTCGCGAGCAAAGGTGCAAACAACACGCACAGAGATATCCCCAACGCGTCCCG